GACGTCCCTTTTCATGCCCCGCTAAACCGGACATTGACAATAACCTGGGGTAATAGGGATTTCAATGGGCAGATTAGCCCATTGTCAAGGGTGGCTGAGCGGGGTACTTTCAAGTCTCTCCCTATTGAACTTCTTTTCTTCAACAACCTAAATACTAACCTTCTGAATTGTTAGAATACTTGAGCAAGGTATGTAAAGAAAGGTAAGAAGTCCACCTTTCTAATAGATTCGATTTGAAGATGTCTTATCATTGCTAAATAAGAAATTCTAGAGGGATAAAAAACTGCCGTAAATAAGAAAAATTAAACATTATATAATTATGATTATTATAAAAATGATAATTCAAAATATAACAAATGACGGTTCATCGAAAAGCACGTTTTCCGGTCTACAACTTTGCTGCACAATATTTTTCATCATGATCATCCAGTGAAGAGTTATAGCCTCTTGATTCAGCAGAGTCAATAAAGATTCCCTCGAAATGTGTGACCCTAAAAGAATGTGGCACAGGGGGGTTTTTTAAGTGGCGCATAAAGAGTTAAACGGAATTGGAGATATCCGTGATGTTACAGCACTACCGGTAATCACCTTTTGGTTTTGGGCGATGGCAAACTATCACTTCCTCGGCGATCTGAATTAATACGCTATCTATTATTATATCCCGCATACTAAGAATCTTGCAATCTGATTGGTCTAAACGAGGTCACATGATCAATGATAGATGAGTACTATATCCCTGCGATAGGAGTTTTGTACCATAATTTTTTGCTGCTGCCCCACTTGCCCATTGAATAAGCATATAGCGCATAGCAATGTAGGTTACGCGAAATGTCAATGTCAATGTCAAATGAGCGCGCATCGACTGTATTACACATGTATGCATGTTGCGCTTTGTAAAATCTAGCTGAAGCTAAACTGTCTGCAAAATCTGTTCTTTTAATTATGTAAAATTCACTTTAAATAAATGATGTGGGATATAAAACAAATATTAACCTCCTTTACTCGGGCAATGGATACAAACTACCATCATCCCGAGCCTAGATCACCTCGGCGATGATAGTTTGTACCATTACCCTCGTAGTCAATTAATATTTGCTTAATAGCTACACGTACATCCAGATCACCTCAGAACTTTGGAAGTGATAGTTTGTCCCATCACCTTCACCAATGGTTTGCTTACTATCATCTAGCCCTTAAAGCCTATCTGCACTAGTTTGGCCAGGAGGGATTAGACCTCCCTACATGTTCACTGACAGTTGGTTATCTCATCAAATCAGCTCTCAATTAACATTAGAAAAAGGGGACCATGGGGGACCAATGGTCACCGCTTAGGCATTGTTTGCAATATAGGGGGGCGCAAGTAGCTATAAGTATTGCAGTGAGTGGGGCTTGACAGGAGAACTTAACCCAAACTACATCGATTGGTGATCTAAATGGGCATTAATAACTTCCTACATTACCCCCACGAGCCACATTTGAAAGATTCACCAAAAGAGAGAAAATTCGTGAAATTTTAGGGCCTTGAATAGCTGAATTGGCCTACGTGTACATAGCCATTGTTTTGAGTTATACCAGTTACTCTTTTTTTTAAATGAATTATTTTAGTTTGATATATTCGAAATAGACATACAAAATCAGAAATTTGCTGTATTAAATCAAATCGAGCACCCACTGCATCAATGTACAACAATCGCTTACTTACGTACATGGATCACTTGTCTAGATCACATCATGATGGCTGCGTTTGACTGTTTGTAGCTATTTTTAAAGAAATTTTCAACTTTAATCGCCACAGCCCATTGCCTAAACAACTCTGCTTGCTTTTCCTTGTTACATGTAGGAATCAAGTGAATGGACTTCTTGAGTCTCGCTTGGCAGTACACCTTCTTCTTTGCGATAAGTACACACATGCATAATACAATTCCTAATGCAGTTACATACCAACTGACACGTCACAAATTGGCAGGGGTATAGGCTCAGGCCGTGAAAATGGAGATTCCCTAATAATTTGGTACACAAGCAGACGACGCGTGTTATATTAAATAGTTAATAAAACCACCTTTGAAGGATTGAATGAGCGAGTTTTTGTATCAAACATGTTTTAATATTACTTTGTATACGATTATGAGACTAAAAGGGCCAAGTTTCATTCTCCTTTACGGCTAGGTGTTTGCATAGTTGTCACTTAGACATAATTATGAATATCTGCACTTTGACTCAAAAGCGCCCTTTACATCTACATGTACGTACAACATCCACATTTTCATCACAGCTAACAAGTTTTCTGAACAACATTTTGTGAAAGAATCCCTTATTCCAATTCCGCTCTCAGTAAGATGAAGAATGTTTCACTAGTTCTTGAGTAACGCAAATTTTCTGTGTAAACAACTGCAATTTGCTTCGTGCTTGAAATGTATATATGCGCGCTGTTGTCAGAAGGGGCGCTGGTCCAAAAGTATATAAGGATCGTCCGCACAAACTAGGATTGTTTTCGTAAACATGGACAGACGCGTCCGCAAAGATAAGGATTGTTCGCAATTTCACTGAAGATTCTGATTTCTGATCCGCACGTTGGCAATGGGAAAAAAAAAAAAGGATTTCGCAATGACTTTCTTGACTCATATTACATTGACTTTGTACAGAGACTTTCACGTGATGAGCAATAAATCCTCGGGAAGACGGGGAACTGGGGGATATGACATGTTTTGTCCGCGTATACGAGGATATCCTTGTTTATGTGGACGATCATCATTCTCAGGCCAGCGCCCCTACTGCCACTGGTTGTAAGCTTAACCTTGTTGGGCTGGGTAACAAGCGCATGTAGTTGCATGTTGGTTAACTTGTCAAAATGCATTGACCTTTCGATGCATATTTTTAATTCTTAACATAATGTATAGTGTCCGGTATTAAGACTTTTAAAGAGGCCCCCGGTATTACGTTAAAACATTTATTTTTATGTTTTAGTGACCATGGCACGAAGAACTTGGCGAATTGAGCACTGTACAGTGAGTTTACGCGCTCCCATTGGCCGATCCGCTCGAGTGGCTTCAAATTTTAGTGAGAGAGGGCCTAATTAACTTAAGCGCATGTTATATTGTAAATTAGGCCTAGGCTATAATAAATCGGTTCCACTTACCAACTTGACTGAAATAATCCGTTTAATGGTCCCTTTTTAAGAAATTATGGGTCAAAATCAAAATCCATGTTAAAAATCTTGCAAGACGTATTTTAACTCAATTTCGATTTTGACCCATAATTTCCTAAAAAGGGACCATTAAACGGATTATTTCAGTCAAGTTGGTTAGCTTAACCTTGTTCGGCCGGGTAACAAGCGCATGTAGTTACATGTTGGTTAACTTGTCAAAATGCATTGACCTTTCGATGCATATTTTTAATTCTTAACATAATGTATAGTGTCCGGTATTAAGACTTTTAAAGAGGCCCCCGGTATTACGTTAAAACATTTATTTTGATGTTTTAGTGACCATGGCACGAAGAACTTGGCGAATTGAGCACTGTACAGTGAGTTTACGCGCTCCCATTGGCCGATCCGCTCGAGTGGCTTCAAATTTTAGTGAGAGAGGGCCTAATTAACTTAAGCGCAACTTGAATTCAATGGCAATGTCAATACGTAATATTGCGTCACACCACAGAGATTTTGACATGTCATGCTTTTAACTAGACCGAATTTTCTGTCTCTTTCGTTCGTTAATAGCCTCTTATTGGGGTAGGGTCGGCTCTCTCTTTAGAGACGGAAGCCGACAATACGCATTCCCTTGCTAACACTATGGCCATTTATGGCCATATTTTTATGCCCCGAAAATCCCCCCAAATGTCATCTTACCTCGTGCATGTTATATTGTAAATTAGGCCTAGGCTATAATAAATCGGTTCCACTTACCAACTTGACTGAAATAATCCGTTTAATGGTCCCTTTTTAAGAAATTATGGGTCAAAATCAAAATCCATGTTAAAAATCTTGCAAGACGTATTTTAACTCAATTTCGATTTTGACCCATAATTTCCTAAAAAGGGACCATTAAACGGATTATTTCAGTCAAGTTGGTAAGTGGAACCGATTTATTATAGCCTAGGCCTAATTTACAATATAACATGCAAGAGGTAAAATGACATTTGGGGGGATTTTCGGGGCATAAAAATATGGCCATAAATGGCTATGGTGTTAGCAAGGGAATGCGTATAGTCGGCTTCTGTCTCTAAAGAGAGAGCCGACCCTACCCCAATAAGAGGCTTACGAATGAAAGAGATGGAAAATTCGGTCTAGCTTTAAACAGGTGACGCACTTCACACATGAAATTGCACACATATAAAAATTAAAATAGAAAAAATCAACAAACATTTCAAAATAAATTTCCAGTTTGACGAAAATGAGAATTGTTCAAACTTAAAAAATAGTTACGTAAGACTTATACTTTAAGTGAAATACTTTGAGGATGCTGAAAAAAACGTAAATAGAGAATTTGACTAAAATATCTTAATTTTGGTATCGAATCAAACAAAATCGCAAGCTTGCTCCTCGCACCAATGGAAGCCAGCGATGGCCAATTAAGAAGGGCCCTTGTCGGTGCCAATTTAGTAAAATGAGGCTGCGGTTCGCCGAGATCAGATAAATGTTGTGCGCATGCGCTAAACGTAAGCTTAGGTTCTACGTGCATGGCAGATAGTCTAGAGTCTATAGCCTTTTTAGGCCTACAATAATTTTGAAGATTTGTTTACATCACTCTTCACACACACTCAGGCCAATGGATGCCCATTATTTTAAGGCTTGGAAGTTGGAGTTGGACCTTGGACTTGGGGCTTAATTTAAAGATCAAGTCAATTGTGAATTTAGACTACAGAGTAGAATCTACTGTGACATAAGTTAGTGTGACTCTCCACTAAGTTTGTGAGCTGAGTGTGTGATTTTTCACAAGCGAGACCAGACATTATGATCATTATGCAAACTCCAACATTTTGAGAAAAAAACTGACTCCACTCACCCATTCAGTATTTTATGAAGTCCGCAGTTTATGAGGGAGGTGAAAATGTGAAGTCAAAATAAACGGCTTTCGAGAGGAAGCAACGCAAAATGGCAAGTCGGTTCACTGTGCAGAAACTCAATAGCCACGAGTTCAGCTGGCATGTTGAATATTGTGGCTTGTGTATTCATAAACCCCACAGTGCAGGGATAGTCCGCCATGAGAGAGAGCATCCATACTCTCGGTAATTTTCGACAGCCATTCGGCGTGCCATTCGGATACCAACTATGGTAGCCTCTCTGCAAACAAAAAAAACAAAAAAAACACACACACAAATTGAAACAATTTATTGTTAAAATTGTTTTGGGGTGGAGCCTGTTTGAATTAGACCAATAAGAAATTCCATCTCCATCGATTCTGTGACATGCGGGGCACTTTTGGGAAAATTTTACTTTCTGTTTTCTTTTCAGGAGGACAGTCTGCAGGAGGAGATATCTTGCTGTCCCGATTTATACATTTCTGAGCACTCAAAAGCAGGTGCAGAATTAAGATTTTGTGGGGGAAGAGTATTATGATATCCCAATAATTTTCTGTTTAGGAAAGAGAAAAGCGCCATCAAATATTAGTTGCCTTTGCCTTGTCGTTTTCACTCCCAAATTCTCTGACAAAAAAATAACGGGCGGAGTCATCATTAGAGACCATTACAAAGCTTCACTCAAAACTCACATCTTCCTTCAGACATTTAAATGCTAATTGTATTGAAGGAGCTCGCGCCTTTTATTGTTTTTTAAACAGATGTATGACGCCATACAAATGCTGTTCATCATCATCATTTGCAATTTCATGTAGGTCTTACATTAATTCTTGCATGGCCCATTTTGGAATATTACATCCTGACCTAAACCAATATGCTGTTGTTGCATCTAAGCCCTATACAAAATACACTGTTGCTCATAAAGTTGGATTTATTTTTTTTTACCCCAATTTATGGAATTATTTTGACAATGATTTATTCCTAATAGATCTAGAGTAGTATACATTCTCATATTTTATTGAATAATTATTTGCCAGTGTTTGTTTTGAGTGACTGCTAAAGGATATGTATGGTACTATGCTTATCAACTGGGGGACCTACGCCCTCAAGTCATAAATGAGAGTAATGAGCATTAGTGCCCCAGGCGCGGATCCAGGATTTCTTAGGGGAGGGGGCCCAACTTTTTTTTTTTGCTCCCGAAAATTTGAAAATCACGCCGGCCGAAAATTTGCTCAGTTGGGGGGGGGGGGGGGGGAGGGGGGGGGGGGGAGGGGGGGGGGGTAGTGAGCACTTTTTTTTTTGGTCCTCAAAAATTTGAAAATTTGCACCCCCCCCCCCCCCCCCCCCCGGGCCCTCTGGATCCGCCACTGTTAATGCCCCACAAAAGGGCACTAATATAGCACATCGACACTGTTTTGATCCTGGGGCCTCACAGTTACGAGGCCATTGCTTTGCCACTGAACCATGACTGTGTACAGCGGGGGCTAGTGTAGGGGGCAGTTCCCCCCCCCAAAAAAAAAAGAAAATGCAATAAATTGAATAATTCTTTGCCTTTCACCCCGGCCCCCAACATTAAAAAAAAATCCTCTGTACGGCCATGCATTATGGCTCAAGGCATGGGCACACAGAAGATTTTTTTTTTTTGGGGGGGGGGGGGACCGGGGAGAAATTCAATGAATTATAGAGTTTTTTTTGTTGGGAACTGTCCCCTACCCTAGCCCCCGCTGCTTACAGTTATGGTTCAGTGGCAAAATAATTTCATAAATTTGGGTTTTAAAAAAAATATTCCAACTTTATGAGCAACAGTGTATATGTGAAACGTAAAACTAATAATAGGCCGACAACTCAACATCTTCTTACTGAGATATATTCTCTTTGAATTGGCGTGGAAGAAACGAGAAAAAAAAACCCTCTCATGGCTGAGTCGTTGCGATTTTAAAAAAAAAATGATTTATTATTTATTTTTTATTCGGCAATTCACACAAAAATATAACAATGTAAATACAGGTAAACTAACATTAATAATAATAATAACATTAATTACAAATGCAAAATTTTCCTGGAGGTCCGCTGAGTGCATCAGTTGGCTGCCGGGGAAGAGGAAAGCAAACTAAATCACTGTAACCATGATGGTCCCTCTTCCCGACCAACTGGTGCACCCAGAAGACCTGCAAAATATAGCATGAAGGTAATTAAAATGTATTTGTAAAACATTTCATAAACAAACCAGCTAACAAAAACAAAGCACAAGGAGGAATTAATATTAATATGTATGATGACACTAGGTCATGACATGATACTGAGCATTAACATGAGGAATTAAGTCTGGCTTAAAAACTATTGCATAAAATATCTAGTAGGTAAACTGTAACCATGAAGTATAAAACTGAGCAAAGAATAAAATATGAGAGCATGTAATAGCGTACTGACAAGAATTTCTAAAATCATACAGATTAATCGGTATATAAAGTTACGAAAACATGGTAAAGGAAGTGAATAGATACATATGCTTAATGGGCTTTAGGTGAGTACCAATATATATATATATATATATATATATATACATATATATATATATATATATATATATATATATATATATATATATATATATATATATATATATATATATATGTGTGTGTGTCCTCTTACCCCCCGTGTGCCCCCCGGGAAGAAATTCCGGGGTCCGCCCCTGATACACGTTCTGATATCACGTGCTTTTACATGCATGGGGTTCAATCACCAACCCCAATATGAATGTGGGGAATTTGTCAACTTAATTGTGTCAAATTGCGTATCAATCAATTCAATCAATTTAGTATTAATTGTCCATTTCTGGATATTTGATTTTCACAGGTGTAACATTACAGATTAACATTTACTAATGAATTTACAAAAATGTAGACATTAACAGTAAATAAACAATGTTTAACATAAATTATGATTAAGCACAAATTAACAGAGGATCAAATGTTGTTTTATAAACACTAATTCAGAACAATAGTTAACATAGTAATTGAAGCAGAGCAAGAGGAGGTGTCAGGTGATCAAACGAATTAACAGGTGAGATAAATATAAATATACTGAGGAGGTTTGGTATCCATACATGTATTTGCGTCTTAAACCAATTTGGGAATTATTAATTAGATTAAATAATAATATTGAAGTACAACACTGGGTCTTCGAGACATTCCGTTGTACATAATTATGGATGGAGTTTGGATGAATGATTGCCGAGTTCTCACTCGTGCTGACCTGGGCACACACAAACGAAAGCCTGACCTATTGTAATTGTAATTGGTGTGAAGCGGGTGGGTGGGGTCGTTCATGATTCGTTTGACTTTAGCAACTACTCTTTCTTCATACAGTGTGGATACTTCGTGTACGCTACTGCCAATTATCCGTTGTGCTACTCTCCTCGTACTGTCTACTTCATCTTATCTTTTTGAGTTGCATTCCCAAAATAGCATATTATGTTGTATGTAGCTATGTACACTCTCTATCAAAGTGTAGAAAGTGATGATGCTCAATGTAAAAAAAAAAAAAAGGGGGGGGGGGGGTTGGGGGAAATGCATAATTATTCAGCGTTTTAATGACCCGATAACGTCTTTAATCGCTTAATTTTTTACCTTTTCAAATAAGTTTAGCCTCAAAATTAATATATAAAGTATAACTCACAGTTTATTATGTTATAGAGATTATATCCTCGCGCAGGGGCGGCGATTTCTTACATGTTACATGCAGGCCCCGCGGCCCGCCTTACGGCCCCTGGTGGGGTCCAGGGGTGGAGCCCCCGGAAGCTCAGGGGTTTTAGATATTTGATTTCGGTAAGATGAGCGTATTTTGTACCTTATTTGTGACACTGACATGCAGGTCACTAATTGGAGTAGGGTCCAGGGGACAGAGCTTTAGGCATTACATTACGATCAGATGAGCAACCAGGGGCCAGTCTAAGCCCTTGGTGTGGTCCAGGGTGCAGCGCCCCCGGAAGCTCAAGGAAAAATCTGGCCATTTCAGCAACATTATTAAATCACCGGTATCGAACTAGAAATAAACCATGTTTCAATTTTATTGGGGGAGGGGCCCCAAGCCCCCCCCCCCATTAGTACGCCAGTGCAAGGGAGCCTAGTGAACTAACTAACCCTTCACAGGTTTTAGAAGATTTGTAGCAAAACTATAGTATAAAAACAAGCAATATATACTTTTTTCACACTTCACTTTTTTTTACAATATTTACTTTTGAAGGCTATTGTGCGAGAGGGCGTAAATACCGAGCGAGAAGATTTTTGCATTTTTATTTGTCTAATATAAACGCTGCACTCTTGGGCCCTCCAGAGCCTAAAAGTGTTTTGCAGTCTTTAGTCAGTATTTTCTATACCTTTTAGGAGGCACTTTTTCAAAAAATTGAGGGGGCGTGTCCCCCGTCCAGGCACGTAGCCACGGGGAGGGGGGGGGGGGCGTGGGGGGGGGGTTGGGCACGTGCCCCCAATTTTTTTTTCCAAGATCGGTTGAACTTTTTTAGACCCCTTTTTTTTTTTTACCTCAATCGATTACATCTATGTGCCCCCCAAACATCAAACTCTGGCTACGTGCTTGCCCCCGTCCCCCCACCCCGGGTTCGCCGGCCCGTCCTCGCGTGACATATATACATCATACATGTAATATGGCGTAATCCTCAAGTTCACTGTTGAGGCAATCGGACCTCGGTTTATTAAAATTATTTCAGAAAAATCTTTAAAAACGTGATGACTCAGCACAAATTTTCTTTTTAATTAAAAAAATGTCATTAGCACAGATTTTTTTTAAAAATGGAAGAAATTGGATGCCAATTTTATCTCACTTAGCCTACTTTTCATTTGACATTGGCCAGTCTCCCGCATCGCAATAACTTCATAAGTACTAAAATTCTCTGTCTCTCGCTCTCTTACTAGTCTTCCAACTCTCTCTCTCCCCCTCTCTCCCTAAAAACTCCATCCCCTCTCTCTCTCTCTCTCTCTCTCCACCCTCTATCTCTGTCTATCTCATCGAGAGGGCCTGCGGTCCTGAAATGCGATATTAAAGAACGAATTATTATTGTTATTATCATTATTATCTCTCTTTTTTTTAACGTACGTGTAAAAGAAGAATTGTAAATAAGCTTTTTTTATAGCTTATACGGGACATCATATGTCATTGTCATTTATCATTAACATTTGAAAAAAAATCTTCATTTTATTATGTCATTTTAATCTTAGAGTTCATGTTACATCATAATAATTAAAAAATATCAAATTTACAAAAATCAAATCAAACAGTCTCTCTTCTCTTTTCTCCCTCTCCTGTTCCTGTTTTGTATCACTTTTCTCTTTCTGTCCCCCTCTCTTTTCCCTCTTGTTCCTGTTTACCTTCTTGGCCACTGAAGGAGGCGGCGGCCGATTACCCCCCCCCCCCCCCCCCAGCCCTGCATGATCCACGACTGTGGATTTACCGGCGCGTCCCACGTGTGTACGTACATGTTTTCTTAGTTCTTTTTCTACGCATGCGCAAACCGCTTTTCAGTTCGCGTTCCAATCGAAAAAGGATCGTACCAAGCGGAAAAAGCTTACCGCGTGTGTTCCGCCATTTTGTGACGAGTTTAATCTACGTGAGTCTGAGAGAGGAGAGTTTACACCGTGTTCTGTTCCTCTATTTGTAAGTCTTAACATGTAAATCACATCTCATTTCATGTAATTTTGTTTTAAGAAGTATTTCACTCATCGATTAACCGTTTTTCAATCTGATGTTATGTAAAAATCGAAGTTTTTACGACTGCTGAGTGTGAGTGTGATGAGAATGAACGAGTATGAACGTGCGCGTGTACTAGTTGCGTTCCGCTAGATTTTGTTTTTTGGCTCGGATTGACACCAGTCCCAACAGTATATTTAAACAAGTTTGCATGTTTTATTTCATGAATCTCTAACATAAGTATTAGACAATATTATTAATGAAAAATGTACATTCTGGTGTGTGTTATTTAACATATTTTCAGTGAAATCCAACGGCAAACGTAAACGCTAACAATTGTTTTTTGTGTGATGTGATGAAGCTTGAATTTTGAAAGGGGGGGGGGGGGGGGGGGTACTACCTGTCCGGACGCTGAACAAAAATACAGCTGTCTCTTTTGCGTTTGGCCATAGGTCTAGGCCTTCATTGTAGAAAAGTATCCATTGATTTAGCACTAAAATGATTCAATTCAAACTGAGACTAGTATAATTCAGTTTCTCCTTCCTATTTTTCTGCTAGTGTTTTAAACAAATGAGGGCGCTAGTTCAGAAGTCTTTGACCCGTAACTCCAGCGTGGAGATACCCAACTAAAACATAGGTCTACGCCAAATGAAGTAAATATTCATCAAATGTCCAAATAAAGGTCATGATTTAAAAGTTGGATATAGATCTACAATTGATGTTGGGGTGCAGACGCGCGCGTGTGTTCAGTTAGCGAAAGCCAGAGTTTATTGGGTCAAAAATGGATACGAAAGTACACTAGCGCCACTTTAATTTTTGCAGACAGTGGAGTGTCATTGCTAGACATTATTAAAAAAAAATTTACAACTGAATTATGGTCTTTTTTCTGTGAAGGGGGATGATATAAATCACAATATTAGGATGTTTAGATTTATTAAGATCTTAGATTTTAGATAAGCAATAAACTGATCTTGCTGATGTGTTCATTTTATTTTTGGTCAATGCAATATATAAATTGTGTGTGCTATCCAGTTAACCTCGCTTTCATGATTTCCTTTGCCCTTCTAGATAATGTCAAGTGGAAGAGTCTATGTTGGAAGGTTGAGCTACCAAGCTCGAGAGAGAGATGTGGAAAGGTTTTTCAGAGGTTTTGGTAGAATACGTGAGATCAATCTAAAAAATGGCTTTGGGTTTGTGGTGAGTATAGCACTTTAGTACCAGTAATTTTTTCAACACTTATTAGTATGACTTATTAAAAGAAGAATAATAATTATAGGATCATTAAGTTGATTATTTTGATAAATAGGAAATGCTTTTACAATTGTTTTCATATATTTTTTTTCTTTCTGGACGACATATGATGTTACTCTTTTGTTCCTTCAGGACCCTTAATGAAAATTATTCCTTTCTTGTTTCAAATTCTCTTCCCTTCTCTGATATAAAAAAAGATCGGGGAAAATACACAAAAATCGACTTGACAAAACAAACTTAAAAATTTATAAATGATAGTAATGAAAGAAATAAAACTTGAAAGAACAGAACACTGACTTGTAAATCAAGCAATAAACACTTCATACTTTAAAACATGCACTTGGAAAACGTTGAAATGTAAATCTTACAAATTAAACACAAGTCATCTCGGTCCCGCCAAAGTTCACATATGGTTGACTTGATTCTTAAGTACATGTAGCTCCTCCTACTAAGACATATTTACAAAGTTTTGAAATTCTCTTCAAATTTTGAGTGTTTTTTTTCTCTCTCTGATTTTTGATTGGGTACAATAAGTCTTCCGGTTGTTTGTTTCAGAAGAAAGAAGTAGTCATTTTTAGTCCAAACAATTCTGAGGGAGGGATTGCTGTCTGTAGCATGTAAAGGGTTCATGAATTCAGTAAAAGAAAGTGAGATGAGTTTATCTGTCCTTTATTTCATTCGCAGGAATTTGAAGACTACAGAGATGCTGATGATGCTGTGTATGAACTGAATGGCAAAGAACTAGTTGGCGAAAGGTATGAAATCCATCACATAGAATTGATCTTTGTTTTGCTCTTCATGTTTCTATAGGGCCATATTTTATGCAACAAAAAAACAACATTGTAAAATAAGCTCTTTCAGTATATAAATCTATACTTCAATGATGTGTATTACATATATAACAAGTATACAGAACTGCCCAAGTATTTAATTTTTTTAATTTTTGCTCTTTGCAGGGTGATTATTGAACATGCGAGAGGACCAGCCAGAGGTCGTGATGAATACAGGTATGGATACCGAAGAAGGGGAGACAAGTGAGTATTCTTATGCTTGCTGTCTTCTTGCCTTGCCTTCGCTCTTCAATTTTATATTTTATTTTTTTAAGTCGAAACACAGATCTTAAATGGGTCTTCATCAGAATTAAATTAAGGTGCGCAATATTTGCCTTGAGGGGTTAAAATAATCATTAAGTTAAAAAAAAACTGCACCTCAGAGAGTCAATTAACACATTTAGTTTGTGATCTCAAAGTCAAACCTGCATTGACTAAGCCTTTATTAAATTTAATTATTTAGCTATTATTAGTACACTTCTTGTTGTTAAAGGTAAAAGACAGGTGAAGACACTATGTTAGATGACATTTTTACAACAATATCTAGAAAAAAATGATGAGTAAATAAAGATAGCCATGTGGGAAAAAAAATTTAGTTAAATATTTTGATTTGGTTAATTTCAGTTAGAAACATCTTGTCAGACATTTTACATTGCTTCCCCCATGTGTAAGGCAATATATATGCAAATGATAGCGTACCTCTAAGAATTAAAGAATTTATTGTAAATTCCAATGTAATTGAATATAATGGTTGAAGTCTCAGTGGCGCAAAGTGCTGTTAGGAAAAGCAAGATATGCGGTCATGGATCAAATAGCTCAACCTCTTTGGCTTCCTGTAAGTGTTTCAATTGATTTATTCAGTCAACTCTAGATCAAACATTCTTTTAATGAAATTCACTTCTCTCTGTAGTACAGTCAAAATATGAAAAAACCTAGAACTAATTGCAACAGAAATGATTCCACTTGCATATAATCTGGAATAGCCATAAAAACAACATACTCAAAGTTGACAAAAATTGAAGTGGTGGATCAGTGCCTAATTTGCATAAATTCAAAATGGCCGCCATGTCAGACCCTGGTAGACACACAAAACCTATTTTAGCCTATATCTCTAGATCTGATACACATAGAAAGCTAAACAAAGTGTCTTTACCCATGCTTGGGGGATCAAGAAACATGATAATAGCATTATCAGCAGCTAACAACTACTTCTTGACTCTTAATTTGCATAAATTTGCATATAATTAACCCTTTTTAAAGTCAAAATGGCTGCCATGTTGCATGTTTAAAACTATTTCTCATCTGATACTTATAGAAAGTTGATTTTAGTGCCCTTATCCATGTTTAGGGGGTCAAGGAACATAATTATAGCATTATCAGCAGCTTAGAACTACTCCTTGACTCTTAATTTGCATAAATATGCATATAAATAACCCTTTTTACAGTCAAAATGGCTGCCATGTTGCATGTTTAAAACTATTTCTCATCTGATACTTATAGAAAGTTGATTTTAGTGCCCTTATCCATGTTTAAGGGGTCAAGGAACATGATTATAGCATTATCAGCAGCTTACAACTACTCCTTGACTCTTAATTTGCATAAATTTGCATAAAATTAACCCTTTTTAAAGTCAAAATGGCTGCCATGTTGCATGTTTATAACTATTTCTCATCAAATACTTATAGAAAGTTGATTATAGTGCCCTTATCCATGTTGAGGAGGTCAAGGAACATGATTATAGCATTATCAGCAGCTTATAACTACTCCTTGACTCTTAATTTGCATAAATTTGCATATAATTAACCCTTTTTAAAGTCAAAATGGCTGCCATGTTGCATGTTTAAAACTATTTCTCATCAAATACTTATAGAAAGTTGATTATAGTGCCCTTATCCATGTTGAGGAGGTCAAGGAACATGATTATAGCATTATCAGCAGCTTATAACTACTCCTTGACTCTTAATTTGCATAAATTTGCATATAATTAACCCCTTTTAAATTCTAAATGGCTACCATTTTTTCATGTTTAAAACTATTTCTCATCTGATACTTATAGAAAGTTGATTTTAGTGCCCTTATCCATGTTTAAGGGGTCAAGGAACAAGATTATAGCATTATCAGCAGCTTATAACTACTCCTTGACTCTTAATTTGCATAAATTTGCATATAATTAACCCCTTTTAAATTCTAAATGGCTACCATTTTTTCATGTTTAAAACTATTTCTCATCTGATACTTATAGAAAGTTGATTTTAGTGCCCTTATCCATGTTTAAGGGGTCAAGGAACATAGTTATAGCATTATCAGCAGCTTAGAACTACTCCTTGACTCTTAATTTGCATAAATTTGCATATAATTAACCCCTTTTAAATTCTAAATGGCTACCATTTTTTCATGTTTAAAACTATTTCTCATCTGATACTTATAGAAAGTTGATTTTAGTGCCCTTATCCATGTTTAAGGGGTCAAGGAACATAGTTATAGCATTATCAGCAGCTTAGAACTACTCCTTGACTCTTAATTTGCATAAATTTGCATATAATTAACCCCTTTTAAATTCTAAATGGCTACCATTTTTTCATGTTTAAAACTATTTCTCATCTGATACTTATAGAAAGTTGATTTTAGTGCCCTTATCCATGTTTAAGGGGTCAAGGAACATGATTATAGCATTATCAGCAGCTTATAACTACTCCTTGACTCTTAATTTGCATAAATTTGCATATAATTAACCCCTTTTAAATTCTAAATGGCTACCATTTTTTCATGTTTAAAACTATATCTCTAGATCTGATACACATAGAAAGCTAAACGAAGTGTCTTTACTGATGTTTAGGGGGTCAAGAAACATGATTATAGCATTATCAGCAGGTTAGAACTACTCCTTGACTCTTAATTTGTATAAAAATAATTAACCCTTTTTTTAAAAGGTCAAATTGGCTGCGATATGTTGCATGTTTAAAACTATTTCTCATCCGATACTTATAGAACGTTAATTTTGGTGCCCTTATTCATGTTTAGGGGTCAAGGAAAATAGCTCGTTAGAACTTAGGAATGTTTTTGTCTAACATTTTATAACCATAGTTACAGTTAAACAGGAACAAACCACCGTTCTTTTAAAGATAAAATTGAAGAATTTGAAACCATCCTTGTTTATCGGCTTCTTTTATTCTTTGAATCCAACACAATTGTTGTGCTCTGGCAGATAACTGGTCCATTCCAAATAAATAATCCAGTGGTTGCAAAAACAATTTTCATTTTGTCGAGAAACAGCAACAGGGCCAGACGGAATCTCTGCCAGAATGTTGAAGGAAACCGCCGATTAGATCTCCCCTGCGATCACCCTGCTTTTCCAAGCCTCCCTTCATCAAGGATGCGTTCCATCAATGTGGAAGAAGGCACTTGTAGTTCCCATCTACCAGAAGGGCTGCAATTAGTCATCCCCGGTTAACTACAGGCCGATTTCACTGACTGCGATCTTATGCAAGCTGTGTGAGCATGTTGTTCACTGTGCAGTTATCCACCACCTCATACATCATGACATTCTATCTGACAATCAGCATGGCTTTCGGAAGCGCCGTTCTTGTGAGACACAACTGATCCTCACCATCCACGACCTTGCTAGAGGACTGGAAGACAAGGGTCAGTATGATGTAATCCTACTAGACTTTGCTAAGGCCTTTGACAAGGTCTCTCTCAAACGACTCCTTCTCAAAGCCAAACATTGTGGTATACACGGCCTATTACTCTTCAGTGGATCGAGAACTTCCTGACTGGCCGTACCCAACAAGTCATACTGGAGGAATCAGCTCTGAAGCCAAAGTCACATATGGCGTACCCCAGGGTAGCGTCCTGGGTCCATTGTTATTTTTGATCTACATCAATGACCTACAAGATTGCATTAGGCATTCAACCACACGCCTTTATGCTGACGACTGTCTGCTCTACAAACCAATCAGATCGACCCAGGACTGTGACAAACTGCAAGAACATCTAGACAGGCTCCAGGACTGGGAGAAGACGTGGAAGATGGAATTCCATCCCTCCAAGTGCCAGGTCTTGCGAGTGACCAACAAGAAGAAGCCACTCCTTGGCTTATACACCATCCATGGTCATCAGCTGGAGCAGGTCAACTCAGCCAAGTACCTCGGGGTCCACATTGATCAGAAGCTGAAATTCAATGCCCATGTAGATGCCGAAGTCAAGAAAGCAAACTCTGTATGTGCCTTCCTGCGCCGTAACTTTCGACACTGCAACCAAAAGATCAAGGAGGCTACGTATGTCACATACACTAGACCCATAGTGGAGTATGCTGCAACAGCGTGGGATCCACACACCCAAAGAAACATCAACAAAGGTCGAAATTGTTCAACGCAGGAGTGCGCGGTACGTCTTTGGCGACTACGATCGTACCAGCAGTGTTACATCTATGACGAACAAACTAAAATGGCCCTCGCTAGTTAGAAGACGTCTGCAAAGCCGTCTTGCAATGCTGTATCGCATCCGCTTTGGTCTTGTTGACGTTGAATGGCAACAAAACCCTAAGGCAGCAACATCTGTAACAAGAGGTCACGGATCCCGCTTCAGAGCGACACTGTGTACTAGCCAAGCCTACATCAGCTCCTTCTTCCCCAGAACTACCAAGGACTGGAACAACCTTCCAATAGATCCAGCCTGCTCACTCTCCCTTGAGGCATTTAAGTCCTCACTGGGAAAGAAGCACCCCTAACTGCCCCCACGGGATTAAAAGATTTTACTCGCACCCTGTACATATATGCACAAGGATCCTGGCCAGCAGGCTCACATAGGCTCCTCACATACACACACAGTGCGCAATCTTCAAGGCCTTGAAGCAGCACTTTTCTTGGAAGAAATATAAATGTAAATGGTAGATACTTTTGCAAAATGGTTGAGACATTAAGAAGCACAACTTCTAATTCTTATCTTTATCCACAGGTTGCCAGATAATCAAACATAAACATTTGCACCTTACATCCAATGATTGATAAATGCATCATATTCTAATATGGATGCTCATTTGTTCTCATGATTTTCTTTCTACTTTGCAAATTAGTGTCATCAAGTTGTATTTGGTATAAATGCATAGGTCCTTATTTTAATCAGAAAGCATTCCTAGCAAACTGTTAAGAACCATTCTAATTTTCTGAACACCAGGTGAGCCTTGTCATTTTGCTTAAGTTTAAAACAAAGTTTTGGAATGTTGATGATATTTGAAAAAGAACCCCGGTAAAACAGCAGGAAAAGTAGAACGATAACTATTTTTCTCAGAAATGATGTTTATCTTATAGTAATTTATGTGATCTTATCCTAGTTTATGGCAACTGGGTATGGAGGTCCCAATACTAACGGTTCCTTAACCATAGAAACAGGGAATCTGCTCAGTTCCATTAAAAAAAAAAAAATTCTCAGAACAAAAAAATAAAGAATTAATTACGCTCTGTGGAAACCTATTTAAGTTTAATGAACCTAATAATATAAATTGTATGCAATTATGCAAATATATGTAAATATGTAACTATTTATACATTATATGCAAACCATTTGTAAATATAATGTAGATTCGGTGATAGTTTAATTTGCTAATAATTCTATCATCAAGTTATATTACCATAAGGACTTGGGTAAGACACCAAGTAAATGTTCTCAATAATAGACATTAGCTATGAGTCAGATTATTCAGAGTTCTGGTGCTTCTTTGCCATTTTCTTGCCTTTTAACTGAATGTTAAATTTTCAATGTTTTATGTTATTTAAATATCTTAATAAATGCAATTTTTTTCTGTGTTCAATGCAATAATGTAATAATTGTTAATTAATCTATAAATACAGTTATTGTTAGTATTATTGATCTTATTATTTGAATATTATTCAAATTGTAATAGTCTATTCAGTGTAGCTGCAGTTTTTACTTAACAACAGTATTCCAAAGTTTATTCTGAAATCTCATCATTTAGGCGAAATATGATATATAGCTTACTAGGTTTTTTAATATTCGCAATTACACTATAGAATTTTTATTTATCCAATAATTCTAAGTAAGCCTATTGTAATATTGTAACTATGAAATCAGTATAACTGCAATTTTTTAATTAGTAATGATATTCAAAAAAATCATTTGTGTAATATACCCTATTAGTAAGCTGTGGAATATGGAATTTGCAACTTGAAATGACACAGTGATTCTCATATCATTGTGTATGTTTTTGCTTAAAATCCATCACGCCTTATGACTGAAGCTTATTTTTATATTTTTACATTGACGAATAATCAAAATTGAATTGAAGTAAATGGTACAGTCAAGTTTGTTAACCAAAGAAAATGGTTAAAACACCAAACTTTAAGGAGAATTCCACCCTGATTATAAGTTGGTTTTAACAGAAGCAAACAAATTAAAGAAACAGATCAGTGAAGGTTTGAGCAAAATACAAGAAGAAATATTTAAGAAAATTATGAATGTTTGAAGTTGTAATCAAGCAAACATAAATTGGCAACACCGTGACGTATATTGTGAGCTACTCTAAAGAAAATATTAAATCATGCATGCACCTTAATTATATAATCATTGTTCATATGTTCCTTGACCCCTAAACATGAATAGGGGCACTAAAATAAACTTCTTATACATGTAAGTATCAGATGAGAAATAGTTTTAAACATGCAACATGGCAGCCATTTTGACATTTAAAAGGGTTAATTATATGCAAATTTATGCAAATTAGGAGTCAAGGAGTAGTGGTAAGCTGCTTATAATGCTGTTATCATGTTCCTTGACCCCAAAAACATTGGTAAAGACACTTCGTTTATCGTTCTATGTGTATCAGATCTAGAGATATAGTTCTAAACATGAACAAATGGCAGCCATTTAGAATTTAAAAGGGGTTAATTATATGCAAATTTATGCAGATTAGGAGTCAAGGAGTAGTTCTAAGCTGCTGATAATGCTATAATTATGTTCCTTGACCCCCTAAACATGGATAAGGGCACTAAAATCAACTTTCTATAAGTATCAGATGAGAAATAGTTTCAAACATGCAACATGGCAGCCATTTTGACTTTAAAAAGGGTTAATTATATGCAAATTTATGCAAATTAAGAGTCAAGGAGTAATTGTAAGCTGCTTATAATGCTATAATCATGTTCCTTGACCCCCAAAACATTGGTAAAGACACTACGTTTAGCTTTCTATGTGTCTCAGATCTAGAGATATAGTTTTAAACATGAAAAAATGGCAGCCATTTAGAATTTAAAAGGGGTTAATTATATGCAAATTTATGCAAATTAGGAGTCAAGGAGTAGTTCTAAGCTGCTGATAATGCTATAATTATGTTCCTTGACCCCCTAAACATGGAAAAGCGCACTAAAATCAACTTTCTATGACTATCAGATGAGAAATAGTTTCAAACATGCAACATGGCAGCCATTTTGACTTTAAAAAGGGTTAATTTTATGCAAATTTATGCAAATAAAGAGTCAAGGAGTAATTGTAAGCTGCTTATAATGCTATAATCATGTTCCTTGACCCCAAAAACATTGGTAAAGACACTACGTTTAGCTTTCTATGTGTATCAGATCTAGAGATATAGGCTAAAATAGGTTTTGTGTGTCTACCAAGGTCTGACATGGCGGCCATTTTGAATTTATGCAAATTAGGCACTGATCCACCACTTCAATTTTTGTCAACTTTGAGTATGTTGTTTTTATGGCTATTCCAGATTATATGCAAGTGGAATCGTTTCTGTTGCAATTAGTTCTAGGTTGACCCCTTTTTTTTCATATCTTTACTGTACTACTGGAAACAAAAGTGATTGTGGCCATGTTGCACTATTCAAGTCTCTATTTCTTAGATAATTCTTATATATTTTTTAATATTTGTTTGCTAGTAACTCTCAACTTATCCAATAGTTTAATAACGCCCTAAATATATTATAATGCGTTTTATTTTGCCGCAAAATTCTATTAAATAATCCCAACTGAGAAGATTTTACATGTTCGAGTGCAATCAAAATTGCATATGCCATTTCATGGAAAATTGTGTGTACTAATGCTATGAATCTTGCACAGTGACTTGAGAAAGCCAATTCTTGCCTTGAATGGTCAAGTACCCCCTTATTTCTATTATATTTAGCTTTCTTGCAGGGAACCTTACATCTTAAACGATTTCTCGTCACCAAATAAACATATAATGGTCTGCAATTGTACAGAATCTACAGGATGAATATGCTTTACTCCAACATCACAGGTTTGGAGGAGAAGGAGGCGGCGGAGGCGGAGGAAGGGGAAGAGACGGAGGAGGAGGTGGGGGTGGAAGTAGGAGCTCACAAAGGCAAGATTTTTTTATTTTTTTTTAGCCAAAGTGAAAGGAAAAAAAAGGATAACTTGCAGATACACTTCAACTGAGCCACATCTAGCCACCTTGTTTATGATTATGTGCAGAATGTAATTCTGTTTTGGAAATGATGAATGTACAATCATGGAATGGATCGTACGTTAAATTCATGTGTCTTTGGACTAAATTTTTCATTGTTTACATAGCTACTATTAATGCAAGTGCATGTTAAGATGCTCGTTGGCGCAGTGTTTAAAGATGGTGGGCTTTAGCTCTGATAGTATATTCCTTGTTACTTCAAGCATTGCATCTTTGCCATGTATAATTCACATTGCGCTCGGTATAGTCATTCATGATTATGTTCATCAGAGACCAGAAGTCGTCAAAAATCCATGAAAATAATTTGTCAATATTAATGACCTCCTTAAATACGTGTTCAAGGTGATGTCTTACAAACTGATATTCTTATTTAGTTCAATCTAGGCACAACCATATTTGTGTGTTTTCTAGTATACTCTTTAAATGCCAGGCTGAATGTTAATTGCGAAATATTGATTACACCATTGTGTCTTAGGTTATTCTGAATATTCCATTTTCTCCCGTTTGTCTTGGTTCACCACTTTTTTTTTGTATATGAATGCTTTGTATTCCATGTCAGTTTAACTGATTTTCTGCTTATTTCCTTGTATGCATGCTTGTAAATTTTGTTTTTCCCCATTGACACAAGGTGCAGCTTGTATACAGCTATTGTATTTGACAGGTTCTTTATTCATGTGTATTGTTTCTGTTGAGGGCTGTTTGAGATGCTCTCTAAAATTGATACGAAAATGATAATTCAATTCAATTCAGTAAAAAGCAGTGAACAGACTTTTGTTGCCATAGTCCTGCTGCTGACAACCAAGTAGCAATGAGGCACTAATATATAATTTGTTTGTGTTTTCTTTACAGATATGGGCCCCCAGTCAGGACTGAATTTCGCATCGTTGTGGAGAATCTATCCAGCAGAGTTAGCTGGCAGGTAGGAACCTAGAGGGCTTAAAGAATATTGTAAAAAAAAGTTTTCACATTTTCACTATCAACAAACATGTAACATGTTAATTTTGTAATAATCTCTGTATCCATTGTCCAATTTTCTTATTTGAATTCAAACTATAATTATTTATATCTATTAAAGCCTTTTGGAAAACAGCGTGGGGGTGCTTTTATTTTCCATTTCATTACATACAAAATATCCTTGAATAAATAATTACTTTTTTTTTCAATTGAAGAGTTATTGATGTAAACTTAATTATGCTACCATGTTATCCTCTCTTCAGCACTCTTAATACTTTGGAGATGTCAGGGTTCTTATTACTGGCTAATGACTGTGGGCTAAGCTTTGCTGTGAGGTGCAGGCTCTCTCGCGAGGTCTGACTGAAGTGTGTCTCTAAAGAGAAAGGTTGAGCGAGACGAAGCACCCCACAACCCCTAGGGGACGTTCCCTCTTGGCCTACCATAATTCTGGCACTGCACACTCTTTGAGATGTACATGCTCCTGCCATCCCCTGTAGTCAGATGACGGCCACCTGTTAGCAAGCATTTAAAGCTTGCTTTTGGCTATTTGGAGGAGGAAAAAAGCTCTCATCAATTTTCTTAATCAAGTTCTGGATCTGGAATTTAAAAAAAATGGGAAAAAGTGGGAGGGATTTCGTAAAGCAGTGCTCTTTTTGAGCACTGTCTTACCACCGCTGTCATCTATGGCTGGTTCCTAGAGCGATAAAAGTATAGAAGTCTGGTTGAGATGGTCTGACAGCCGGTGGTCAAGTGATCGATCTATCTGGCTGGCTGGCTTGCTGCCCCGCCCCTCTGGTGGTGCTCCCCTCTCTGGTGGCGCTTCCCTCTCTATGGCTTGGATTACAGTGCTTAGTATAAAGAGGCCTTGTTTCGCGTTGAGCAATACCAGACACATGTGGTAGAAGGTATAGTAGTATGTCTTATGTGCAGCTACTGAATTACCCCTGTTACAAAGTGTGCGCCTTGCAAGAATGTCCAGATGTGTATGACCTCCCACATTGTGATGTATGGACTCACTAAAAGTAGTTCCCTGACAGAATGCCATTGAATTGAACTTTATCACTATACTTTTGTAAAAGAACCAAAGTATTGAGCAGAAAAGGTGATGATAACTGTTCAACTGTGACTTTCTAATCTTAAGAAAGAAAAAATAGCTATGTTTTGGGGAAGGTTTACTTCCTGATACTTCTTGCAAGGCACACTAATGCGTGTAGTGTTCCATATGTAAAAATTATGATCAATTTAGTGGAAGCAGTAGATATGTAAGATGCATATGTTCACCAGTTGTCCCTTCGAACAGACAAGAACAGGTGTGGTCTTCGATGGCATGACGGCAACAGGATGCTACTGATGCCCGGACTATGGCTGGATGACTCGTATCTGCTGAGATGATGTCTTATATTCCCCGTCTGGCTCCATCTGTTACTAATGAAACTCACATTCTCTCTTATCAATACATCTATCAACTAGGATCGGCCAGTTTATATTCCTTTTCATTAAGCTTTTAAGTACTAAGAGATGTGTTTTTGTTGTTGACTTGATAATTTGATAAGATGCATATGCTGTGCATGTCGATTATTACCCAACCCAACAAAAGACAATAGAAAGTGTATATTAATTTGTGCATGTTGTCCAGGATGCTGTGTGAAATATGACCAATAATTAATTGTGGATCATTATTGCTATACCTAATTTACCCATCCACTCTTTTACTTGACTAGGATTTGAAAGACTACATGAGACAGGCAGGAGAAGTCACCTTTGCTGATGCCCACAAGCAGCACAAGAATGAAGGGTAAGTGCAATGAATGCCCAAATTGTGTTCGAAATGGGGTAGAATTTCATTTTGACATAATAGCCTAGAAGCCACCAAATGTTGACTGCAGAAAAGAATAACTATATATTTAATTTTTTTAAACCATCTGTATCGCATCAAATCACTAATTGTAGAATATCACAAATTTGAGAAGCAATGAAATCATTGGTAAATTAAATTATATCCACTCAAGTATATGTTTTAAGAATACATCCTCTGAATTTGCCTAGGGTATGAACTACAGGAGTGTATCAAGAAATCCTTTTGCAATTTTTTTTCCCACATGGTAATACCAGCCTCCCCCAAAAAGGAGCTCACTAATAATCAATTTTGTCATGAATCAACAACCGTCTTTAAATCCTGCCCAGCCATTTGAAGTATAGAAAAGCAAAAGCAAATATTTTATTGTAAAATGATCAGCAAATGAGGGCTTTAATTTACAGAATGACAATACGTTCTTTGCTTGCTTGTCCATTGACAGAATTGTTGAGTTTGCTACATACAGTGACATGAAGAATGCAGTTGAGAAGCTTGATGGAACAGAAATCAACGGACGTCGCATCAAGTTGGTGGAGGACAGACCCTCATCATCATCTAGGAGAAGGTAAGATCTTCATGATCATCATTCTTTAGAACACCCCATGGGTCAGAACATTTGTCAACAGTAGAAGGAAAAGTTTCCAGACATCTTAATGTTTTATACCCTCTGTTTCCCAAGTAGTTTGTGATTTCAGCTTATTGTTTATCATCTTTTCTCCTTGCAAATTCAACCCGCTAGTTCTGAGTTATGACCAAATTTGTAGGATGACTTCATTTCTTTTCCAAGTATACATGGGATTTCTTGGATTCTGTGTTGAAAATTGCTTCATAATTTGTATTTTAATGATATTATGATTATTCATTTTTTCAAAGGTCAAGGAGCCACTCCAGGTCTCGCTCTCGATCTCGCCGTCGCTCCAGGTCTCCCCGAAGCAGATCCCGAAGCCACTCCCGCAGCCGGTCCCGATCACGATCCCGCTCTCGCAAGTCCAGGAGCCGAAGCAAGAGCCCTAGGAAGAGCCCAAAGAGGAGCAGGAGTAGGTCTCTCAGTCCAATGAAGCGTGATAGCCGCAGCTGTTCAAGAAGCAAGTCACCCAGGAATAGCCGTAGCCCTTCACCTATTGAGCAGAACAACAAGGGAATGTCAAGATCCAGATCTCCTAGCCCTCAAGATGATGATTAGACTGGGTTTGACGGAAGTCATGGTTTGGCCAAATGTAAATGTCTTATCTATCAATGCAGAGATTTGAAAGATGTACAGTTGTTTACTTTGTGAACTTTGTAAATTGACAATTCATATCAGTGACTGGAGTTCAAAACGCTTTGGCTCATTGCTTTTTACATCATATTAAATAATTCATTATAACATGTCGAAAATAAAAAGGTAGGTCTGTACTTCAATGTCAAACCTGTTGTCTGAACCATTGCTGCCAAATATCCTTTTGATGACTTGTCAGAAAATTGGTTAAAGAAGTCTAAAATTTTTAGTTGGTGGCTTTGGCCTGAACTTCTTTACTGCAGAAGACTATAATTAGAACAGGTCAGGAGTAAGCAACAGTACATTGGTACTCATTTATGTCAGCATGTTTGAAGTCAAACCTGAACAAAGAACACAAATCTAAATATTTTTACTATTTTAATGGTTGCCTTGCAGCATCCTTAGATTCGAGAAGGGATAACATACCACTGAGTCGAATTATCAGCTGCATGACATTTATGATGCCCTTTGTATATTGTATCTTTCCAAATTGTAGAAATTCTTGAAATTTGTTTGGAGTGGAGAGTTCTAGTACTATTGCTATGAAAGAGCTTTATATCTTTTCAAGCTAAACCTGAACAGTCCGCTCTCTGCAGAGACAGCATTTCCCTTCTTAGCCCCTTACTGTGTCATTCAAAGGTTCTGTAAGTCATATTTAGGCATTCCTTGATTCTATTTTTTGCTTTAATGTTAATGTGGAGTTCTAATTTGTGTATTTTTGTATGTGTCCTTTCATTCTGACAAGATACCTTTTTGGTGAATTTAAAATGTTTGTGATCTGGAGAGCTAATTGTTAACATTGCCCTCTTCAAATTTGTCTTTTTTTAGCTTTCTTGTACATGATTTTATTTGGGTAATTATGCTGAAGATTTTTATACATGTAATGTGTTGATGTAATATGCAGGATATGACACAGATTATATTCACGTGGAGACTGGAGCAAAACATCTCATTTACACATTCAAGGATGACAGGAGAGAACATTTGCAAGTCATAGGTCATTATCTGTACTCTGTGTGTACTTAACATCAGGTATAATTTGTGTCATGTTCTCCAGTAATATTTGAATAATGATTTATGAACAGGATTGTATTTTAGTAGATCAAGAATTTGTATGGTAACTTGTTTTTCACTTGGATTAAAAGAATGGAAGACAAAAACTTGTACCTTGTCAATTTGTTTCAAAGTACAGAAGCAGCTCTTTGTGAAAATACATGGTGCTGGATGACTGTGTGATTGATGTGAATGGAAGAGACATCATCTCTGCTCCTGTCTGTTTCTTTGTTAAATCTGGTACATGTATTTCCAGTAATGGCAAGTACTCATTGATTGAGATGTGGCAACCTAAACAATGAATAAAAATAGTTATTAATATAATGACTTCAAAACTTCTATCAATGGTCCAGACACATCTACTAATTCTCCCTCTCCTTTGTGACAATTATTTATTGAAGGTACCTTGCTGCCACTTGAATTAGTTTTGATTCAAATTTGTTTAATTTTTTGTGTGTACACGTTCAATCTGTCAATTTCAAAGAATTGGCATTTCATGGGTTACATGTAGATCAAGATGCCATGCATAACATTATGCTTCTTGCCATGAATATCATACATGGACTTGGTGACTGAATAGGCTATTTTCATAATGCATTCAAATTTATAAACTTGTATTTGCATAGTGATGAACTGCAACATTCACCTGTTCTGAGATTGAATTGAAGTTGACGACATGCAATCTTATCTCTGGTGATTTTTTAAATATATATTTGACAGGAAAAAAGCAAATCAATTTTAATATGAATGCATTATGAAGACTGCCTCGTTAATTAAGCATTGTGTGAGATGAGAAAGAGTATGAATCATGAAAGATAAGTGGCTTTATTATTAAAGGGCAATCCAACACCTGTAATAACTTATTGGTATGGAAGCAGAAAAATAGAGGAACAGAATAGCAAAAGTTTGAAATATATTAGTTATCGGACCAATACATGTACAGTGTATTATGAAAGTTTAGAATTTTTGAAATGTGAAATGACAACAATTTGCTCAGTGAATTGTGACAGAGACGTACAGTGTAGTACCAAACAACTCTGTTGGTGTACATACAAAACTCATTTATTTCTGATTTTCTTTTTTACCTTTGGGGCACTACTAAAACATATATTGGATAGTGATTACAACTTTCAAAATTCTAAACTTTTTCTGTAGAGTAAATTGCTATCAAGGTTGGATTTTCTTTTAAACTCCTTTAAGATTGCAAAAGTCGAAGATATTCCAAATTATCTACAATAACTAGAGGAGTAAAGCAGTGAAAGTTTGAGATTTGAAAAGAATATGAGCCCTAGTGATTGATAAAGGACAAAATGGCAACTTTATGATTGCCATAGTGAGTAGTCTTTATTTGGTTGTGTTGTAAACAAATTGCCGTAAGTTAATGTTTCTGAATCTCAGTTGTAGTTATTTGTGTTTTCCACAACATCCTGTACAATATAAATTTGTTCCTTAGTCGACTAAAACTACACATCAAGGGTTCAGTGACACAAAGACGTAACTACATATTTTGCCAAAATTAGTATTTGTTATAAAAATGTTCAGGAAAATGTGGGCTTTACAGGAAACACAAATACTTATAGGGATAGTCGAGTCTGGTTTTCAGATCGCAAATACCTTCAAAGTGCATGGTTGTTGCTCTTTTTCTTATCTTTAACATTTCTAGTGCCCTTTTAGAACCTAAAATTGCTAAGAAGGTAATTTTAGAACCCAAAATAAATTTAGCCAATACGATCATACCAATTCAGCTCCACTTTAAAAAAAATACAGTGACCGTTAATTAATTATTACAATACATGGGCCGGCTGATTGTGCGTAATATAACCAACATGAAAAAGGCAACATCGGCATTGGCTGAAATACAACGTAAAAGGCGCTTTTGTTTTTTTCAACGGCTGGTTTAAATTATCTAATATTTGTGGTGGTACACAAGTATTAGAAATTGTTATATTTATGAATATTTCAGCCGTCTCTAAACCGATTTTGATCTAAGAAAGATAATTTTTTTGTTTAAACTGTATGTTCTTTCAAATATGACGGTCAGTTTTTCATTATCTCACAAAAAATTATTTTGTGTAGCGCCCTCTGCAACAGAACTCAACTATCCCTTAAACTCCACCCGACGCCCCATTGAAGTCAATAGAGTGGTGAAGTGTGACGCCATTAAAAATCTATTTTTTAGAATTTCTTCCTTTTTTTCTTCATTTTCCGAAAGAGCATAAAAAATAAAGTCCAAATGTCGAAAACCAATTGAATATGCTAAGTATTGGCTGAGATATGACCATCTGAATAAAAAGATTTCCTATAAGAGTTCAGTGTTATTTTGCTCTGGTCCATAACTTTACAAGCCAGAGCACTATAACAACTGAGCTCCTTATAGGAAATCTTTTTATTCAGATGGTCATATCTCAGCCAATACTTAACATATTCAACTGGCTTTCGACATTTGGACATTATTTTTGATGCTCTTTCGGAAAATCAATTTTTTTCACAGAAATTCTAAAACTAGATTTTTATGATACACAGCTTCGGTACTCTATGGCTAGTGAAACATAGACTCGACTTCGGCCCAAGTGCTCAGTGACATATAAAACACTGTTTCTCAAAATGGGAGTCACGTCTTTGTGTCACTGACCCCTCGACATATATTTTAGTTCTTGCGAAATTCCATTCATTCCCTTATCTTTCATAAAATTTCCTCAGCTGTCAGCTGACATTACCAAGTTGATGCCTGGGAAGATTACCTAACTAGTAGTGGTATAACATTACAGCTACATCTCTCTGCCTGTCTCTCTTTCCCTCTCTCTCCTACCTCTTGGTATTTCTTTCATGGTGGTCCCAACCTAAAATTTCTAAAATTCAAACCTCTCATTCTTCCATGTTAAAACCCCTCGGAACCACACTATCCTCTCATCAAAACGTGCAAAACATGTAAAAAACACATTAGGCATACAGGGAATGTCGGGCATTTTGAACGAGTGTGCTGTAGTAGGAACCCCATGTCACTGATATTGATAACCCACAACTGGTATCATATGTTGATATATGAAACGTATTACGGTACAGCATACAGTGTGCTACAAAATGCAAGTTTTTTCTCTCACTTTTCTGCTGTTGTAACGAAGCCGATGTCTGTATGAATTACCATGTTTCAAAATACTTCAAATGGATTTAAGACATATAAGCCACATAAGATATTGGAAAAGCAATGTGCAAATGTTGTCTCTTCCTTACATTCTTTCTCTCTATCCTATACCCCCTCACATCCCTCTCTCCTGCCCCTCTTTTTAGCATACTGGGTGCTAAAATATTGTATGTTTCTGAATCATTGGCTCAATCTGGCCATACATTTCAGGTTGAAAAGACTTACTGAAAAGCATAAGAACTTAGTTTACTCAAAAAATCCTGATGTGTATCATCAGACACTTTTAGAGGCTTGCACAAAATTCTTCTAATCTGATACATGAATATTTAATTAAAATTTCAAAAATTGAACCCAGATTAGGACCACTACGACCAAGTGCTTTCCCATTTCCCCCCTAGAACTTCTATGTTGCACCCTGCATTGCAAATACTAGGTGTCTGAAGAAACGTTCGACATTTGTCATCATTAATAACCCCCAAAACTACATCTAGTTATCTAATATCAGATTGACGTTTGCTCTTGTAATTTTGAAGGACAGTTATTTTCACCCTACATGTATTTCTTTTGTTTTGAGTACTTAATTTTTAAAAATTCCACTATTTGAGATAAGAAGGTAATACAATCTTTGTATCCAAAATAAATTCAGAAAACAACAACATGCCTTGCACAGTAATTATCATTTAGGACAGTCGATCTCAAAATTAATTTCTCTGGATTACAAGAGGTGCTACGAAACCTAAGCTGGAATGCTGTGTTTGAAATTAATTGCTAATACTACACATAGATTTTATGGCACGTTTATCAAAAAGTAAAGCTCTGTTAAGAAATAGTGTTTCATATTTCATAAGACTTACTCCAAATCCTTTAACTTTACAAAGTGCAAAATTCAGTCTGATATGAATTCCAGCTTTTGTGTTACTACATTCAAAATATGTCACCTCACTCACCTACTACATGTGATATTAGAAATAAAATTGAAGAAGTATAGAATATTTTGGACAGAGTATGATTTACAGAATGTACAAATTGGCAATGCCGTTTATTGACAGTGTAACACCTACATACAGTGGATTGGTGTCTGTGCAGTGAACATGGTCTCCATAAAAGATGAAATATCAGAATGTCTTGACAATTATAAAAAAGAAAAGGATCAATACACGACATGTACTACTATTGGAGGACCACTCTACCACACAGCAAAGTTTCCAGAATTATCAGAACTGATTTAAACTTTGGTGGAACCAAAGTAAAAAAAAACATATCTAAAATAACAAAAATTTAGCATGATTATGTTTCGTTACTTCTGATTGAATTCTTTTACAATATATCAAAATGGGGGAATATCAGTTTAAACTTTTTGGAACTTTGATTTGTTGGTATTTTGTATGACCATACATTTTGCAATAAGTTTCATTGCAGTCACTTGTAAAACAATGCCTCTGTCAGCCTTCATGGCGGCCTTTGGGCAAAGACGAACAGGAAAAAAATCTTGCAAAACATTTAAATGAATATCTCAATTTTAAACAGTTACTAAACAAATCAATCAGAAAATAGAAGACACGGGGCACTTTAAGAAGCATTACAAAAGAAGTACAAAAATCCAAGAGCATGGACGAAGGTTTTGTTGGCTTCGGAATAGTAGATGATGTTTTCTGATCACAAAGTCCAAATGAACCATAGCAGCAGTAGTGACATGATCTACTGGCAACAATATTTACAAGGAACAACGACTAGTCTCCTGCTTCGCAATAGCCAGGGGGTTCCTGAAACCGAGGATAATCCTGTCACCACATGGTGATGTAACGATTCTACTTCGCAGTAGCTAGGGGGTTCCTGAGAACGAGGATAACGCTGTCACCGCGGAGAAACATCTTGGTGATGTAGCGATCTTTGTTGACAGGTTTTGACCTCTTCTTGCCTTTTCCTGCTTTGGGTGTTTCTGTCCACATCTCCTTCACATTCTCAAGGACCATATTGCAATGCCTGTTGAGAAGACAAATTCAAACAAAAATTGAGTATGTGATCAGATACAAAGAAGGGATCATGAAAAATTGCTTTAACCTCTCACTTAAAATCACAGATTTCAATTTTTGTCATACAAAATAATTAATCTTATAAAATGTTGTGAGCTACAGGTTGACGAATCCGCTAAGTTTTTTTTAAGTAGTCAAACTTACCATACCAAATAAAGTTCTTTTCTTGATTTCTGTCATTGTTTCAAATATCATGCTAAGCTTTTAAGATCGATTATTAATACATTCCTTATAAATAGTTTATTATAGAATAGATAAAGGTAGCAGGCAATCAGAGCACTATAACTGAATTGCACAATTTAACATAAATACTACACATCAACAAAATCATTTAGGAAATGTTTACATTTTAATTACGGTACAAATCAAAGTGATACCTAATACATTTTCTTCCTAAACCAATTAGACTATTCAAAAATATTTTTTTTCATGTCTAAACTGTGTTCTTGATCAGTACTGTACCTGTCAAATGCCTTGACACGTCCTAGTAATTTCTTGTTGTTTCTGCAGTTGATTAGAACCTGTGTGTTGTTCTTGACTGATTGAGTGAGTACAGAAAGTGGACCAGTGTTGAATTCTTCTTCTTCCCTCTTAGCCAGCTCCTCTTGGCTCATTTCTGTCTTGGGCTTTGTTAACAGCCTGAAGGAAAACAAAAAAAATAACAATCATGAGAAAAAGCACATGTGATGGGGAATTTGATAATTGGTTGGCATGCCAGCTTGTACTAACTTTGTAGGGCAGCATAATTGTACTCTATAATTCTACTACCGGTATACTTCTTTCACCGGTGTCATCGACATGGTCCTTGGTAGCTACTTGCGCCCTCTATATAACAAACAATGCATAATCGGTGACCATTGGTCCCCCATGATCCTCTTTTTCTTATGTTAACTGAGAGCTGAGTTGATGAGATAACCACCTGTCCAGTGACCTTGCAGAGCGGTCTAATCCCTCCTGTAAAGTATGGCAGATAAGCTTTAAAAGAAATTATGCCCCTTTGGTATTCTATTGCATTTTCTAAAAGGAGTACAACAGGTCTGCAACTATGCGGTAAGTCAGTTGGTAAGCGTTTTATAAGCACCGTTTTTATTATAATTATTTCCCCAATGAACTGGTTAGCACGCAAACATTTAACATCCTACATCCCAGTGTTGCACTGCATGCATTTCCGTCATATACAGCACATTTTACGGAAGCGTCATCAACACATTTCAGAGATCAACATCATTGTAATGCTGCTAATGCAGATCGTAAAGGAAGCAAAGCTGTATTGTTCTGATCAGAATTTTGCTAATTTTAGGTTATTTTACCAATTTTAAATTATAGATCTAGTGCATATCAATCGGAATAGGAGCGCAATATCGGGTAACCGAAGTCTACGTGGCGTGACCGAATACTGGGCAGAAAACTGCTTCTTCTTCTCTTGGAAATATTTTACTTAGCATCGACATTAGGTAGGTGTCTTCTACATGACAATCTGCGCGTCCATGGTGCATCCATTTTGGCACTGCGCGTGCGCTCTTAATTCACGATCAAGTGCACCGACAGGGCTCTATGCAAATCGCTGCTATTTTTAGCGCTTAAATCATGAATACGGTAATTGTTTGAGACGTGGGGAAATTTTACTTCGTATCGTTCTTTAATTTTTGTGTGCCATGATCAAAACTGGAGCTGCGAGCAACTGAATGAAGATTGACTAACTTAGATCTAGACCCTCATATTCGAAGCGTCGGATTTCAACAAAGGAACGTGACTTTACGCGAGACTGTTTTCACATATGATTTGTTTCGACAGAATATTAATTTATGGTCTACCTGCATATGAAATATCTAGTCCATGCATGTCGCAAAACTCGAAACTTTACAAAAAGTCAAAACAAAAGCCTGAATTAAAAATAAAAGTTGAAAGGAAGTCTTTCCCATTTTTGTAAACTCCAAAAGATATTTCTAATTCTACAGTACATGCCTCAAGACACCCAACTACGAAAAGGAAGAAACAAAAACTTGAGGTACCTGGAAGCCTGGCTGCTGAGATCACAGCATTATTCCAGAATCTCGGATAAGGTAAAGTACAACTTACAAGTAAAATAATGATTGCTGGTTTTACACGAAAGTCAACGGATGGGACTTCACTAATTTCTACCACCGATATAATTTTGATCTCAATAAAACATCTACTTTTCATGAATTACTGTAAAAATGCTTTACATAGTGAAGTCAAACTGTCTTACACTTGACAAAAAGCAAAATATAAGTATAACTTACGACATGATGATGAATTACAAGTACGATTCAATTTATGGCAATCCACTTCATATACGACATTCAATCGCCGAGCAACTTTCGCTGGTACCAAACAGTATTAGGTTTGAGTACGTACGAGTCTGTTGATCGAAGACGAGGTGCGGTCGGGTGGGCGCGGGCGGGCGGTGGTCGACCTGCTGAACAGCCTGGTTGATCGGGCTGGTATGGCCATCAGCTCCTGGGACCAGCAAACCTGTATCCTGCAATTCTAAAATTTGAAGAAAAAAAATTGAATTAGCTACTCATTTACAGTTATCTACACATATTACATATAAATTTTATTAAAATATTTCTATACAAATTATTTTTTGCATATTATACAGTAATGATAATATTTTAGTTTTAACGGTACCATTAAAATAAAATTGTACCTAAATTGTCAACTTTGTTTAGTTAGTAGCATAAATTGGTAGCGAGTTTAGTCCAATTGTAATGGTCAAATAGCAAAGATCAAATTCTATTTCTAAAGTAGAGCTTTTGGGACCTGTAAATCAGTGATCTGCTAGGACCACGAAGTTTTTTCCATAATTTGTGTATTTTGGGTCAAAAAAATTATATATTTATAAATAATAATCTTCATATATTTATATTTTTTAAGAGAAAGCAAAGAGGATCGAACCAACCCGCTCAGAGGCGGCGCTCCCGGGGGGCACAGTGCCCTCCCATTTTTTCAAGTAACCTAAAAGTGCCTCTTTTTACACAGGAAAAGTGCCCCTTTAACCTTGTAAGAAGTGCCCCTTTTTACAAAGGAAAAGTGCCCCTTTTACTTTGAAAAGTGCCCCTATTAATTTGTAAAAGTGCCCCTTCCCCTTTCCAACTCTGATAAGTCCCCCTTTCATTTTGACACGTACCCCTTTTCCTTCGACAAGTTCCCATTTTTTTTTGCAATAAGTGTCCTTTTTTTCATTTTCATAAGTGTCCTTTTGAATCTCTAGTAAGTGCCCCTTTTTAGGTACGAGAAGCACCCCTTTTCGCTTTTGATAAACGCCCCCTTCACCTCGATAATTGCCCTATTCACATCTGAGAGGTGCCCCTTTTGCTTTGACAAGTGCCCCTTTTCCTTTGTAGAAGTTCCCCTAAATTCCCCCTTTTAATAACTACCCCTTTTTAACTTGGATAAGCGCATCTTATAGGTTCACAAGATCATGTGCCCCCTTTCCTTTCTAATAAGTGCCCCCTTTTCCTTATGATAAGTGCCCCTTTTCCCCTCTTGTAAATGACCCTATTTAATCATGAGAGATAATCGTTTTACTTTGAAAAGTGCCTCTCCCCCTCCTGATAAGTGCTCTTTGTATCTCTAATAATTGCCCCTTTTATTTAGACACGTCCCCCCTTTTCCTCCCTAATGAATGCTTTTTTCCTTCTTGTAAGTGCCCCTTCCCCTTCGTCATAATTACCCCTTTTCATTTCTGATAAGTGCCCCGTTTATTCTAACATGTGCCTCTTTTTCTTTCTATTAAGAGCCACTTCACCCTTCTCATAAAAGCCCCCTTTCACCTTCCACCGATAAATGCCCCTATTAAATTCTGATCGGTGCCCCTTTTCTTTCAACAAATGCACATTTTCCCTTTATTATTAGTGCCCCTTTTTCATTCTCATAAGTGCCTCTTTTGATATAAGATCAGTGCCCATTTTCACCTCTGATAATTACCCTCTTAACAATGATTCATATACCCCTTTTCCGTTCTAATAAGGAACCTATCCTTTTTTCATAAATGCCCCTTTTCACTTCTTATAAATGCCCCTATCAAAATCCAATGGGTGCCTCTATTCCGTCCACAAATGCCCATTTCCCATTCTCATAAGTGTCTTTTTCATCCCTGGTGAGTGCCTCTTTCTTTAGGTGTAAGAAGTGCCCCATTTCCGCCTCTGATAATTAGCCTTTGTACTTTGACACTTGCTCCTTTTATTTTTTAATAAGTGTCTTGCAGGGCTCAAATTAATTTTTTGTCCACGGGGGCTCTTCCCCCGAAAAAAGAGCTCCCGTGAGCCTTCTCACGGGGGCTCTTTTAGTACTGACGGGGGCTCTTTTAGTACTGACGGGGGCTCTTTTTTATACAAATATCCATTGAATTGGTACTGTAACGTGTTTATTAACCGAGGGAACTTATAAACCAAAATCAATCATCGAACATGCTGCATCAAAAACAATCTAAACTCTCCAACAAAACTCAAGTAAACCAAGACAGTAGAAAACACAACCTCACACGAAGAAGGACGGAACAGAACTAACTTTAATACTCAATATTATAACATGGCTCTGAGTACAACTCAGGCATCATAACAAAATAAACCAATCAGGAGATAGTCATGTGATAAGAGAAACGAATGAGGTGAACAGGCTAGATAGATCAAAGGTGAGAGGCGAACGAATGAGAGAAGAGAAAGTGGCTGTAGTCCTGGGGGTGGTAGAGGTAGTCCCAGTGGCGGTGGAGGTAGTCCCGGGGGTGTTGGCAGAAGTCCAGCTGCATATGGTACCTGAATTGGCGATGGTGGAACAAGTAACCCAGGTGGTGGGTTATTTACTGGAAGAAGTGGGGTAGCATTCCCTGACTGGTCCCTAAATGGTAGGGAACCAGACAGAGGGGTGAAGTAAGGACGGTGTTCCTGACTGCATGTGAAGGTAGGGGGAACGTCCGTGTTAGATGATCGGACGTCGGCCCTGGTATGCGGACTCCACTCGGATCGGTAGGGTTTGAGTCTGTTCTTGTGTACGGCCAGCCGTTTCTGCTGGCCGTCCTGTAGGTTCACGATCTTATGGGTGTGGTTGGTGGCGGACGACAAGACCCGGTATGGTCCTTTCCAGTTTGGCGCCAACTTGATCCTAGATGTGGTGGGATCATTGAGCCAGACAAGATCACCAGGCTTGTAGACCAGACTTCTATCTTTCTTGTCGAAGATGAATTTCTGCCTCGCTCTTGCGTGATCGTTGCGGAACCCGGCATACAGGAAAGCTGTGTGTAGACGTTGACGGAGGTCATTGGTATATTGTAGGTGTGATGTAGGGGGGTCTGTATCCGGGGGAGTCACTGATGCTGGGAGCCTAGCTTCTCTCCCGTGTACCATGAAGAAAGGCGTGAGACCTGTCGATGAGTTTACGCTGGTGTTGTACGCTAACTCAAGCTGATGTAGGTACTGCATGGTCCCACTCTCCTCCTCCTTCAGCTAGGTATTTAGCCAGTTGGTCCTTTATGACTCGATTCGCCCTTTCCACAATACCTGCTCCCTGTGGGTGGTACGGCGAAGAGCGGGATTTCCTGATTCCCAGGGTCTTGCATAGTAATTGTTTGACGACATTCGCCTCAAATTGTCGTCCCTAGCTCTGGTACACCATGTTCTCGAATGTAGTCTTCGAAAAGAAGCTTAGCCACAGTGGCTGATGATTGGTCTTTCATGGCATACATATTGGCATACTTGGTGAAATGATCCACAATGACGAGGATATAACGATGCCCTTTGGATATAACGATGCCCGATGCCCAGTAGAAAACACAACCTCACACGAAGAAGGACGGAACAGAACTAACTTTAATACTCAATATTATAACATGGCTCTGAGTACAACTCAGGCATCATAACAAAATAAACCAATCAGGAGAAAGTCATGTGATAAGAGAAACGAATGAGGTGAACAGGCTAGATAGATCAAAGGTGAGAGGCAAAGAGAACGAATGAGAGAAGAGAAAGTGCATGTTGCTAGGGCAGGAAAAGGCAACCATGCATAGAGAATGAGAAGACAACAAAGGGAATGGGTTTGAAGGAGAGAGAGGAAAATAAGGTGTGGCAGTAGTGCAACTGAAAGACTGTGCTGTAAGAAGGTGAATGAAATGGGAACATGAGCAGGGAAAATGAATATGCAAATGAAGAATGCAAAATAAATGAATATGTAATAATGGATAAGGAAGAGATGAGAAATTTACTAACTGAAATATAAAGACAAATTCAAACTGTTACAGTACTTATGATACTCCTCAATTATTTGCTATTTCATCATTATCATTTCAATCAGCATTTTCCCTCTTACAAATTTACAAGCTACGTAGCTGTTACTGGCCTGTGTATATAATATATACGCATACAACACTGATCTTTATGATGTCTTTAACGTGACATATCTTCTCCTCCCCTTGCAAACGAGAAAGAAAACAAGGTCATTAAAAGGGATTAAGCGACAAATAATGATTGTGATTCAAATTGATGCGAATATTTGTTTGAATAAGCACTGGTATTCACCCGAATCTTCTTTGTAAAAACAACTTTTACAAATCTCAGCCATGCTTACTGAGTTGAGACGTTCCATTCAATGTAAAATACTCATTAAAGAATACACTTCTCCTAATCTGAAAGTGATCTTACAACACAGTGGCAGATTTGCATGGCTGTCGTTTAATAAAGTCGTTTTTACGAAGAAGATTCTGGTGAAAAGCATTGCTTATTAAAAAAAAATCCTTGCTTCAATTTGAATCACAATGATTATTTGTCGCATGATCCTTTCATTAAATAACCTTGTTTTCTTTTTTGTTTGCAGGGGGAGAAGAAGCTATTTCACGTTAAGAAATCATAAAGATCAGTTGTATTATGCGTAGATACCAGAACAAATGTTGATTATCAGAATGTCATTTTGGAATACCTCTATACAAATACCACATTGTCTTTAGCCAGTATCAGTATTAGTATGATCCAATATAAAGCTATTATTCTTTATTTAATTCAGTATAATGCTTTTCCTCAAAAATAGTTTTGCTATTTTTTTAGGGTTGAGACGCTAAGAAATGGTTTCAAATGTACATTACACGAACCCTGAACCATTGCAAAATGATGGTGGTTCTCTCTCTCTCTCTCTCTCACTCTTTATTTTAATCATGCATTATCAACTACATATAAAGCAGCAACCAAAAACTTAGGGTTATCTAAGATAATTATAGGTGAAAGTAAGAGTTAAAAAGAAAGTCATGCTAAAACGGCGCTTCACTCCCCCTCCCCCCCCCCCCTGAAAAAAATAAAATAGATTAGTAGTCCTCCTCTCCAGCATCCCCCCCCCCCCCGCTTTAATATCACATTTTCACTTGGCAGCCCGCAAGGGGGCCGGGGGGGGGGTGGGAGGAGGGGGTTAAACCCCTTAACAACCCCCCCCCCCCCGTAGATCTGCCCATGTCTTCCTCTTCTTCTCAATAGGGACTTTTAGATTTGCGTGGACGTGGACGTGTGACGTCCTTTTAAGCCCTGACACTTAAAGCCCTGACACCTTAAAAGGAGGTCACACGTTGCAGTCCACGTTCTCATCGTGCAAATCTAAAAGTCCCTAATATTGATTTACTGGTCGAGGTTCATTATTTGCTGGTCATTTGAAATCACCAGATTTCAGCGGGTTAACGCTTTCACAACGAAAAACTTCTCCATGACCATGTTTCTGTCCTTGCGCGATCGCCTCCAGCTCCAGCAGACATGGCGCGGCAGCGTGCATACGTACCGCTACTAACGGCGCAGTATAATTAGGCCTATAACCACTGCTGACGGCGGCACTGCAGTTGCGAGCTGAATCGGTAATAATAGGCCTACTCATAAAACGAGAAATCTTGCACGCTAATCTAAGTTCCATTTCATTGGTTTAAGGTTTGAAAATTGAAACTCAATATTGAAACTCAATATTGTGGTAAAGTTATAACAGAAAAGATTATCTTTATTTTATAATTCCACGGGGGCGATTTTTAATTTTGCAATCGCCCCCTTGAGCAACCTGACGGGGGCGATTATGTAGCTCACGGGGGCGAATCGCCCACCGCCCCCATGTATTTTGAGCGCTGGTGTCTTGTCCCTTTCGAAAAGTGTCCCCCTTTCCTCTCATCATTAAACGTGCCCCTAATTTCAAGCGATTAAGAGCAATTCCCCAAAGCTCGCTCGCATTTATAGATTTATAATTATGTATACTTAGCAAAGGTCTTTTCAGTCTTCCGTCATGAGAATGTGCTTATAACCCCATCAGGATTCGTTTTTTTTTCTCTCTCTAAGATGTAATTTTTCTCAATGCGACCTCACAACTCTTTAAATTTTCCTCACTCGCTTTGCTCGCTCGCAAATGAGTTTTCAGACCATCAAACCCAACTGCAAAGTATGATGCTTAAGCAATATCTTATATGATGTTTATAGAGAAACAAATATGGAAATCATCCCTGATAATGAAAATTATATATTTCCGCTTTGAGATTTCCCTTGGAAGGGGCCCTTTTTCCCCAGAAAGTGCCCTTTTTTGTTGGTGTCCTCCCACTTTGAAAGTCGCTCCGCCGCCTCTGAACCCGCTCGTTGGAAGAAAAAAAAAAACACTCAATAGAATATTTAGTTTGGAGTTTTACTTAGAAATATTGGGGGAGGGGACTAATTATTGTTTTGTCCAAATCCCTCCAGCCATTTGAAACGGGAAAGAGATTCATGCCCCCAAAACTTAACTTGTTCGAATTTCAATAACATGTCGGGACCTTTTAAAGGTATTCCCCTGGGGCAGCTAAGTGAGTTTTTCTAGTGAGTAGGGACTCAATAATTTTATTTTTCTTCACAAAATATGAAGAAGAAAAAAAAAACGATGACAATAATGAGGCTTGATGATGGCAAACTGTCTCACCATGTATGCACGGTTTACCAATTAAAGGCTCACTTTTGTGGAGAAAATTCTAGGGTCTATGAGTTATCAGGACAAGTCCGCTTTTCAAAGCATTTTTTTCTTTCTCGTCATTGTTTTGTTATACAGTATGTTCAAATTATCTATTTATTATTATTTTAATTCGTACACAAAAGAGGTTTCTACAAGGCATTTTGAAAACGAAATATAGGCCTACTACTGTTCTACAAACTTAATCCAAACTCCGGCCCTCTCAAGTTCTCTCTAGTTTCTCTCTCGGTCTCTCTCTCTCTCTCCCCCCCCCCTCTCTCTCTCTCTCTCTCAGTCACTAGCTCTGGAGCTTCAGATGCTTTTCCTTCCTTCAATACACTAGAAAGCTATATGTTTTCAACATAAAATCTGGGAAATATGTTACAATGAAAAACATAAGCCTACATGTTCCTGGACATGTTCCTGACAATTAAAAACATAACCTCACCATCGTTGATGTACTGTGAGTTGGGGCTGCTCAGACACCCACTAAAACAATTAACCTCACCATCGTTGATGTACTGTGAGTTGGGGCTGCTCAGACACCCACTAAAAACATAACCTCACCATCGTTGATGTACTGTGAGTTGGGGCTGCTTAGACACCCACTAAAAACATAACCTCACCATCGTTGATGTACTGTGAGTTGGGGCTGCTCAGACACCCACTAAAAACATAACCTCATCATCGTTGATGTACTGTGAGTTGGGGCTGCTCAGACACCCCCTAAAAACATAACCTCACCATCGTTGATGTACTGTGAGTTGGGGCTGCTCAGACACCCCCTAAAAACATAACCTCACCATCGTTGATGTACTGTGAGTTGGGGCTGCTCAGACCCCCCCCCCTAGAAACATAACCTTACCATCGTTAATGTACTGTGAGTTGGGGCTGCTCAGACACCCACTAAAAACTCTCACCAAGCGCCGAATATTTAGAAGGGATCGGATATATAAAGGGAAAGAAAATGAAAGAATAAAATTTAAAAAATAAATGAATAAAAAAAGGAAAGAAAGAAAGAGAATTAAAGGAAAAGAAAAGAAAAGGACAAACGAGGGACTTCATTTCCATGCACCCCTGCCACTTTCTCTTGTAATTATGATTCCGGTGTTTTCATCCGTTCCATCAGATATAGGGTTATAGGGTTATATAGGGTTACCGTTAAACCCTGAATTCAATAAGACCCTATATATATAATTGATGAGCCTGTCAGATGCGTCCTTCTTTTCCAAGCTCCCTATATAATGAGCCCGATTGTAATACTGAACTCTATACTTCCAGATTTAAGTTCCCGCAAGAACAGAGGTTGATATTCCTCTTTTTTTTTGGGGGGGGGGGGGCGGTCTTTTGTCATTATTCGGAAGCCAGCCTTTCATGAACTGGCATAAAAGATTCCTTTGGTTTGTATTTGTAACTCATTTGGGAAAATACAAACAAATATATGACAAAAATATACAAATGAATTGATATAAAACCGCTTAATGTTATTAAATCACTCTTATGAGTCCGTCTGCTAAAAATCTGCCAAAAATAAGTTGTGACGTGCATTTGAATAATAGAAATCGCAGAAATATAATCATCAGCTGATTCCAATTTGTTGTAAAATATAGTCTATAACTTCAGTATTTGATCAATAGCGCATGCAGCGCATACCTGTAGTCCCTAGATAGTTCTAGAGCCACGTATTACTTTTCCATTGGACTCCTTGGTGTACATCCCTCTTACTGAGTATTGTCGATCGAGAATGTACGTATTCTAATTTCTAGCGAAAGAATAACATATTTGTTAGATTGAGTGTATCATAAATGATATTTCCTATGTCCTATAAATGTTAAGCTTACACATATATACGCTTGCTTCTTTGACGAGCGTCAATGTCCAGGGCTAAGCCAAGTGCAGCTTAGCCTGAGCGCAGCCCAGGGCATAGGCCAAGGCAAGGGCAGCTGCACCGGACCCGAGACTGAGAGTGAGAGCTTGTGCGCGCTGCGCAGCTGTATACGAAGACGTTGTGTGTATGACTGTTATTTAAAACAGTAATTTGAAGAAGTTTACATGCAACATTTCAGACATCTTTTAAGACTTAACTAGGCAATCTAAAAAAGGACAAAGAACTGCTTTACATTTGGCTTTGTTGAGTGTCTGGAGTGGACACACAGTGACACCCCCGTCCGCAATAAATTGTAGGGGACCTAACGTCACATGTACTGATGTAGACAGCAATAACCATCTGATTTGGGTCATTTCTTTAATAAAACTGACATTTGTTGTCATTCCCCAATACAGATGGCAACCCAGAGATCTCGTACCGTGGGGGTAGCTATAGCCAACAATGGCAGCTTTTTATGTCAAAACATTTTCTCCCCGATTTTCTTTATTTAGATCTAATTTTCTGATTTCTAAATCAGATGTAAATTAGGTCGGTATGTCATTTGTCCTAATTACAGTTATCAAAATTTGATAACTTAATATTAAATGTATAATTTATGGACTTACTTATATGAATTATCCAATTTGTATTTCCGAACTGTGAAACGGTACGTTCATGCATTCAAAATATTACCCGGCGACCGATATATTTCCGGGTCCACCTACCAAAACATAGCCAAATGGCCAATCAGAGCACTCGTTTCGTGGGAGTTCGTTGGTCAAGCTGGGCCGACTCGTACGTAGCTACGGTAGCTATTGGACGTTCGAAAAGAAAAAATGAATATTCATCAACTAAAACCAAGACGGATAATGTTGACGACGAGACTTTCTCGGATTAATCATTAATTTAGGATCTAAATGAGCAAGCTATCGTAAGTCAAATAAGCTATATATATGTTATTTTTAATTTGTGTTATAATTGCAGCAGTTATGAGGATGTAAAGAGTGAAAATCTCGTTGCATATCTCATTCATCGCGGTCCGGTCGAACCGAACCATTTGTTCCGTACAGTGCCTCACAGAAAGAGGTCTCCAGACTTCAGTCTCTATAATCGGAGGTCTAGTGGAGCCAGACGTAGTCTCAGTGGAACAACCGACGATTAGAGAGACTGAAGCTTTCGGTCTAGTACTGATGTAGATAGATCTAGATCTACTTAAGAAATTTTCCCCAATTTTTTTTACTCTGTGTGTGAGCGGCCAGGAGATCCATGCTAATAATAGTAATAATCAGTCATCACTAGACCTAGATCTATACAAGGTTAACATGATCATGATTAAGAATAAGATAGGATTGAGACTTAATCAGGGCTCAAATTAACTTTTTGTCCACGGGGGCTCTTCCCCCCAAAAAGAGCCCCTGTGAGCCTTCTCTGTAATATAGCAGTAGAGAGCGACAAATCATTAGTTTTCACCATGATTACAAGGTTATATTATAACCTCATAAATTGGATGAGTGGCAAGCAGCGACATCCTTTAGGGGCTGAAAAGGGTTGGTCCGGTGTGTCTGATACACAAATTATAATGATAACTATGACTTAGTGGAGAATTTTTTTCACCCTCCTAATTGGCCTGTTTGTGTGGAGACTTCAGCTATATGGGAAACATATCTTCTAGTGTTGACTGTTGCAAATCATATTTCAGTTTCTGCGCCTATTTTCTCTGATTGATGATACATACCGGAGTGTTGGCTCAGTCAGTAGAGCGTCCGCCTCACAACCGGGAGGTCGTGGGTTCGAACCCCGGCCGCGTCATACCAAAAGACGTTAAAAGGTGGGAGTTGTTGCTACCTTGTTTGGCGTTCAACAATAAGGGGATAGAGCAACGTCGATCTGGCGCTGCTCAGTGGCTGCCGGGCTCACGATCAATTGGGCAAAAAGAATTTCCGTTTCGGTTTAATAAAATTTGGAGTGGACTATTAGATTATTATTATTATTATTATTATTATAATACCTTTTTTATTTTTTTCAATTGATACATAAAGATCAGGAGTTCAAGATAACAAGCCAGACTAAAGGGAAATCCATTTTATTGATAAAGATAACAATAACTATATGTAACCAATAACTCACTATTTAACAGGTATGCTGTATTGTTGCAAACATTCTCACTAAATATTGTTCCTGTCCAGAGTCATGAAATGGTTGTCACAAGCAAATAAAATTTGAAGGATGCAGAAATAAATGATGATGACAATCATTACATTAATCTAATCTCAGGTCAAAATAGATTAACATGTAAGATTAAGCCATTTTTATTGTATATTGTATCAATAACTATATTTTGGCTAATCTATTTTAATCCAAGATCAAAAGCAAAAATTATTGATATCAATGATTTTTCTCTATTTTATATGGTTTTCTCTACAGATTCAAGATGGTGTCTCTTAAAATAGTGCTTACACTTTGCTTGGCATCACTGTGCTGTCTTGGAAATGTTTCTGGAGAGAAAAGCAAGAAACTACAAATTGGTATAAAGAAGAAGGTGGAAGATTGCACCACTAGATCACGCACAGGAGATCGTCTTTCTATGCACTACACTGTAAGTAAAGGCAAATTATGGGAAAAGTTTATCATACACATACAGATCGAGGGGTCAATGACACAAAGGCGTAACTCCATTTTGGCCATTTTGAGAAAAAGTGGTTTGTGTGTCACTGAGCACTTCAGCCTGAAGAAGTTTTCACTAGCCATTGTTGGGTGGAGTTAGTTTTTAGTACCCATTGTTGGGTGGAGTTCAATCTTTGTGTTTCCTGGAAAACCCACATTTTTCTGAACATTTTGATATCCATACTCATTTTGGCAAAATATGGAGTTATGTCTTTGTGTCACTGAATCCTTGAGATGTACTAGGTTTACTTAGTTTATGCATTGTAACAAGAAGTTTATAAATTGGTTACCGATATCCATTGCAATTGACTACTGTAATTAGTAAACATCAGTAATATTGCTTCAGATAATCAAAGATCCTTGTATGAAAATTGAGAGAGAAGTGTTCAAATTAAATACAGATTTTTCAACATCAAACTTCCTCTTTTAGTTTCAGTTTTTCTTTCAGTGCTTACAGATTAAAGGATGTTCATAAAGGATTACACCCCCATCAGAGGAATATGAGGGAATGAGTAATTAATTACTTGGAATCATGAATTAAAGGGAAAAATTAATTTGTATTTGTATATATTATCTCATATGCTATGTATTTCTCCTGCATATTGCACCTGATATGGCATACCTCTTCTGCTCCCAGACCTGCTTGTTTACTTTGGTTAACTTATCTGTTAAGTACTGATATTCACGTTGCTGTTTCTTACCCCTCATTAGTCATTACCTACCTATCTGTCAATTGTGTTATTACAGGGCAAGTTAGAAGATGGAACAGAATTTGATAGCAGTATTCCCAGGAAACAAACCTTTGACTTTACACTAGGAGCTGGGCAAGTTATTAAAGGCTGGGATCAAGGTCTGCTCAAGTAAGTTCAATTCTAGACTGATTGAAAACGAGTAATAATGATCGACAGAGTACAGAGAACCATTTAGTCACAATAATTCTCATAAGTTGTTTCTTAATAAATGTTTTAATTGAATTGATTTGATTTGCATGAATATCTTATTCCATTGTCTAAGTTATGCAGTCTATGCCATGACTATTACAGTGATACAATGTGTGGGTCTTGGAACTTAAATGAGGAAGTTAGTTGTTCTGTGTCTGCTAAAACAGATGCCTAGTACTTAGTCAACACTGGACATACCGATGTCTGAAATCTATTGAAAATATAGGTTATGTGTGCAGTAAAGCTCTCTACATAAATATCTATAGGTATCCCAAAGTGTCCATTCAATGTTTTACAATGACTCACTATGAATATGACTGACAAAGAAAGCGGACAAAATATACAGTTCCTCAGGAAGACAAAGGAACATCCCTTCACTGCTATTATGTAAAAATGTGCAGAACAGGTGAATATGCATGTGACACCTGGGGGGTGTTTCACAAAGATCCTAAGTTGAACTTATCTCTAAGTTGGACTTAAAAATTATGGACAGCCATTGGAGCCTTAAAATGAAATATATTCAAAAGCAGAAATTCAAGTATTTTAGACTTTTTATAAATTCCACATCCAGAACATGAACTCTCCTTGATGATAGAAAATGTGAATGATTTGAATCAACATTTTATGCCTTTCAAAATAAACTTTTACAAAATATTTTCAAAGATGCTAATGGCTTTCCATAACTTTTAAGTCCAACTTAGAGATAAGTTCAACTTAGGATCTTTGTGAAACACCCTCCTGTTCTGCCATTTTTACATAATAGCAGTGAAGGGATGTTCCTTTGTCTACCTGAGGAACTGTATATTTTGTCCGCTTTCTTTGTCAGTCATATTCTTAGTGACTGTCTAGTGTAAAACATAATAGATCTCCTGATTCATCCACTTTGAATAAATATCTTATGATAATGCGAATGCAATTTTATTTTTGTTTGACAGTATGTGTGAAGGAGAGAAGAGGAAGCTAGTTATCCCCTCAAACCTTGGCTACGGTGATAGAGGATCACCCCCTAAGATTCCAGGTAAGCAGCATCACACTGATATTAGAATAATGCAAAAAGAGAGATATTCTGAACAAAATACAGAGCCCATTATTGGAATGATTTATGTTCATTTTCATTAAACTCTAAAGCTAACAGTATTGTCCTCAGTCGAAATAAATGGTTTTTCAATTATTTAAAATGTTGTTGATATTCGTACTTTCTTCACTTTTCTTACAGCACTTAGAAACATGCGTATGAAGTGCTATGTAAATATTATTTCCATGTGAAGTTGTGAATAATGTTGACCTTACCAATGTTTGTGTACTTGGGACATGCTTTATAATTCTCTAATGCACAACTTGACTGTAGTATTTTACAAGTTCTTGATTACTTTGGATTGGGGTGAAATAAACCATTTCTGGGATACAGTTGTTAGACTTTTTATTCTCCAGGTAGATGGATCCTCCTCATATTTGCAATTACAATGCTATGCCACGCCGTGAACTAATTTGTTCTGATTTCTTTCTCTCTTTCTTTCTGTTAGGTGGAGCCACTTTGATCTTTGAGGTAGAACTAATAAAGATTAACAGGAAAGAATCAGACGAACTATGATAACTTTCCATCTTATTTTCATTCATTTCTTTTATCATTTATCTCTTTTGTTAGATTTCATTTAATCATGTATTTAGGTAATAGATGTAGAAGTTTGAAAGAACACATTAAATGTGAGAAAATGAACAACTATCCAATCAACTTACCTAGAACATTTGGTCTTAAATAGGTACATTAAATATTGTCTACTGAGAAACCATAGGGCATTAACTCTTTTAAAACAGAATCAATGCCTTTCCGGCTCTCAGCAAGTGATATTTCTTAGTCACAGATATAGCTTTTGAGTACTTTTTTTAACCTTGGTATTCACAGTCACTTGTCATTTTTCTTTTAAATCTGTATTTTTTATATCATGCTATTGAACCTGCTTCATATTCTCAATTTTTTTACAACAAACAAGATAAATTTGTTAAATAAGCAAAGGGGAAGCAACAATAGAATGCCACTGCATGGCTCGGAATAACAACATTTCAGGTTAACCTTGTATTATCCCAACTTGCTTGTTAGTTGTTACACTATGGTAAATAAATCATGATTGAATAATTACAAATCGGCCTTCTGACCATCTCAAAGAAGATGTTGCTTTTCTTGTTTCTTGTCATTGAGTGCCCTCAAGTAGGCCATTACTGCCATTGACAATAGACAGCTCTGTAGACCTTCTTGGCAGCCAAAAATTTATTCTCACAACTTATTCAAGTACAAAGTATTAAAACCAACTTCAAGGAATGAATCTCAATCTGTACATGCATATCATTCGACATTTGTATACATTTAGTTTGAGATGCTCTTACTCCAATTTTTTGAACAAATTTTTGTTTATTTTAGATATCTGTCTCCCTTCCGTCTTGCCCTCACTTTCTTTCTCTACTACTTGTTTATCTCTCTTTCTCTCCCCCCTCTCTCTCTCTCTCTCTTTCTCTCTCTCTTTCTCTTTCTGCCTGTCTCTGTTTCTCCCTCTCTCTCCCTCTCTCTCTGTCTCTGTCTCTCTGTTCCTCTCTTTCTCTCATCATTAGATAGTAACAAAACTTCATATCCTCTGCAGATATATATTTTGAAATTTTGATTGATTGGTTGTACTTGCTGAAAGCAATGAACAATATTTATATACTTGTATTTCAGAAACAATTCTACTTTGGTGCCTACATGAATTATTTCATGACATTCTTGTTCCTGTGTATTGTATTTGATGTACTTTGTACTATGTCACAAATCCATGTCTATGTCTAGAGTGTAACTAGAATTGTTTGAAATGTTGGAAGTATTACATATGACTATATGTATATAATCTGTAGTACGTTCATTCTACTTAATACCCAAAAGAGACCAAAACAGTTCAGAAATGATATTTCTGCTAATATAAGTAAATTAAGATTTAAAGCTCATGTCTTGTCATCATTACTATATAGTAGCAGCTCAAAACTAATCTGCACTTCAATTCAACTGTTATAGGATATTTTAGCAGTTTGAGGAATTAATTATTTTTAACATTGAGATGGTCAAAGGATTTAATGTAATTCATAGTGTAAAGGAAGTTAATTGATATTGGGATATGAGTTTAACAATCTTATAACAATGATGTAGAACATCATCAGTTTATGATAGTAGAGACATCACTCCAATGTATTATTTTAGATGTTTTGTATGTACATGTAGATATATGTGGTAATATGGTTGTAATATGTTTTTTTTTTCATATTCACATCATATGAAGGTCATGTATTGTCTTTGTATGTCAGCATTTCAAAGTTTGACTTCGGAAGCAATAAGTAAAACTAGTACAAACAGTTGGAAAACAATTATGTCAGTAGTTGCCTCTTATGTTGTTTTAAAAGTTTGTGAAGTTTTAATGAGTATGTCCATGTCCTCTAGTAATTTGCAATTCCTACCCTGCATGTAAGTAGGAGGGGGATGACCCATAATGTTTGCATCAAATTTAGTTCATTTGTCACCATTGATAGAATGGCTATTATGGTCATGAGGAATCTTTTCTTATTAAGTAATAACCAAGAAAAATACTGCTTGCAATGATTGTACTTGATGAAGAGAGGATTTCCATCTTGGGGAAATTATGATGATGGTGAGGATGTTAAATGGTGAGGGTGTTGAAGAAAACAAATTGATAAATAGAAAATGGCAATGATGAGGAGGAGAATTACGGTGATGATGATGATGATGATGATATGAAAAATACTGGAATAAGTATTGGATATAGTGACAAAGAGGAAGATGATGGAAATGAGCATGATGAAAATGAGTAGGATGATAGTGATGTCAAATTGAAAAGAGTAACAAATCAGTTAAGATGACGGTGATGAATGAATGTTATTAGTGACTAAATGCCAAGACTAGTGGTAGTTAAAATGGAGATGATGGTGATAATGATGAGAGTAAATAAAGTTCAAGGACATTTATACTGCTAGCAGCATTCTCTAACACTCTCTGTGCACTAAGATTGTATAACGTTGGAAACGGACCACAACTCAACGGTGAAGAGATCGAGGGATAAATCTAGTACTTTGAACCTTGAATCACTTTCTTTCTGAATTTGACCAGTTAATGTTGATGAGAGTGGGTGATGTCTAGATTATTGGCTTGTAAGGAGTATACAATATTGTGAAGATAAAGAATTCTTCTTCCATTGAGTAGTCCTCTTTGTAGAGTAAAGTCTAACTTAAGGAATTTCATTGTCTAACTGCTCAGTCGATTATCTAAATACATAAAATCAGCAGAGAATAGTTTTAATCATTTTTGAATAACATGCAACCACTATTTAAATATAAAATATACACATTATTCTTTCTCCCTCTCTCTCTCTCTCTCTCTCTCTCTCTTTTTCCCTCTCTCTCTTTCTCTCTCTCTCTCTCTCTCTCTCTCTCTCTCTCTCTCTCTCTCTCTCTCTCTTATCTTTGTTCAACATAATGTATAACAGTTTCATGAATTTATTCCCATATAATATTTAGCTTAAGAATTTTAAGCTGACCGACACAAAGTTTCGATGGAAATAATGCTAAATCGCACCTGCGAAGAACACCCGGTACGCCCATTTATTATGTACACTATTAAAACGCACATGCGCCTATTGTTATACAGATTAGCGTACGCGTCACGTCACTATGGATACGCTCTGCACCAAGTACCGCTAGAGCTTTAGGACCAGCGCGAGCAACAGGTGCATTTCCCTACCAATCTCTCTTTTAGTTTTATGGCCTGGAATATCTAAAAATCGACTCAAAATGACTGCACAGTGTATGGGCAACTTTGGTGCTCATAAATGGCGCTATCCTGAGTTTATGGCAGACCGATATGGCCGTTCAAATGGATCTGTGGATCCCGAAAGTCGACATAAACAATATGATGCAGGGGTAAGCGACCAGACAGTGTGGGTCAACAAGCGGTACATCCCTACCGATCTCCGCAGCACTGCCCCGGTACCTCGCCGCAAGCTACTGGCTTCAGCCCGCCTGCCTCACGTGGAGAGGGATTGGGTGCCACTGGGAGAGGCTTCTTGCAGACAAATCTCAAGAGCCATGGAAGAGAGACAGCTCTACGTTTCACAACCTAGTACCAGGTCGGAAGATTGGTCTACTCTGAGACAAATACTCCCCTCAAAAGGACTACCACTAAGGGATAGCCCACCAAACTGGGGTACAGGCAATGCATATGCACCTCCTATGCTTGGAGCAAGACAAAGACGGTTCCCTCACATAAACAGTCCGATGACAAGGTATGCACAAAGTATTATATTTACATTGTTTTGGTTAACAAATAGGCTTAGGATGGATGAATGAATCAATTAATTGAATTTTATATTTAAATAGTTTTTTTGTTTACACAAAGCAACTTACAATGTCAGTATTTATGAGAAAAAATGGAAAGATAAAAAAATAAATAATAAAGATTCAACACCCATTTCTTGAATTGCTTTTGCATTTTGAATTCCCCAATTTAAATATGAATTTTAAGATTTACATTAATAATCTGATATCTCTAATATAAACTGAAGTAATGTTTTAGTTAAAACTTCTATGAGGAGTATTTTTGGAGGATCATCTCCCAAGTACCAAGTACATTAGATCATTGATGTGAATAAACTTTTATTTTCAGCAATGACTAAAAAAAAAAGTTGACTAAACTAATATCTTTTGGTGTGTTTTCATACTAGTTTTCAACCTTAAACTTTCAGAAAATGATTGGCATTTCAGAGAAAAATATTCATAGTAGTAATGCTCAAATTTGTATTTATTCAGTGATGGCTAAGTAAGAGGCATAATAAGATTGAATTTATGAGTCCTTAACAAAGTTATATTGCTCAACAATTTTACATAATTGTCAAGGGCTTTTTGATTTGTTGATGTTAATTTCAGTCATATATTTTGTCTTCTTCATGTTTTTCTCTCGTTTTAGATATACGGATAACATGCATACAACACACAAACTTTTCAAGCTTCATTAAGTTGCCAGAGCACCATCCAAAAGAGCTGTATCTCGAGATATTTCCAGGCTCTTCTCAAGAAAGTCTTTCCATGAGAGGCCAGTGTAATATTGTCTGCAATAGAAGGGAAAGACCTGTCTTGAAGAAGCATTTGTAGAATTGATGCCATTGTGACTAACTGAACTTTTTTTTACCAAGCCTTGTCAACTTTTTACTTTCAAGACCGGTATAACATTTCTTCCACGACAGAACAAAGACATTGATAAATGAAAAGCTGTCAGAATTTAAAAGCTGTATCAGAACAAAATTTTTGAGTGAAGTAAAAATTTACTTTAGTATCCAAAAGTGATAAATAAGAGAACAAAGCCATGTTTAAAATTAGTCATTACACAAGTATTTTGATATCTAAAACACATTTTGGTTGTACATAATTGTTTAGCAGTGATCATTCTGTAATTTCAAGGTATGATAACTTTAAAAGATTATATTGTTTATTTTATGAACAAAAAATTAGTATATATTGTTTATCTTGAAAAATATACAAATGATGTGTGTATTGATGGTTGGAGGGGCTTGATAAAGCTATACGATGCAATTTACAGCCTAGTGGCTTGTTAATTGCTGGTAGTAATTATAACATGCATTAAGCCTGAAAATATGCATACTTTAAATGGCTTAATCTGTTCTCAGTGCAAAATGAATTCCATTTGTTTTACTTGGCAATATAGGAACAGAACTGGATTTTATTAGTAAAAAGCTGGCTGTGCAAATTATCATTCCGTCCATACATGATTGATATCGTGTGTAGTGTGATTTAACAGTATTATTGGTTATTTATGTATAGTAATCTATGCAGTTTATATGCAAGCTTTGTGTTATTAACTTTTGAAGGACATATGTACATTGTTTTTTAGAAGCATTCTTTTCTTAGAAAGGAACAACATAGAATCTTTTAATTTTGTTTACTTAAGCATGATCAAAGAGGCATAATTCTCATTTTGGTAAAAAAAAAATTAAAATGCAAGAATAACGTTTCAATAATTATGATATAATGTGGAGGTGTCGTGAATGTCTTTTGGCAAGATATTAATCTACATTTGCCACACTTTATTAATTAATTCCTTGACGTGCTAAATAATGCCATAATGGCAGCCATGCTAAAGCCGGAGTAATAATTGTCGAGTGCCAGGAGTGTCAAGTCTAACATGAGCGCTATACAAAAAGTGACTGTCCATGTTCATCAGAAATATGATCCAGATTTTTCATTTTATGTAATCTGAGAAATTTACATTACATTCATCAAAATTACCACCTTTAAGTTAGGTGTATGTTTCAGGATTTCTGAATATTCTAAAAAATTTCTTTTTACAAGTTGGAATGTGAGAGTTGATTTATCTTGAGCAACTTTCTTTCAAGATTAGTCAAAGCATGTTTATACAAATAACTCCACTCCCTTGCAATTAATTGACTAGCTATGCAATTCATTTTTATTGACATTTTTATATTGTGTGTGCATTTGTAAACTTTTATTTTCAGTCCATTCTTTTTCATTTTCATTTAATTTTTTTAAATGGTTATTGCACATTTGCACACTGTACAGCAATTGATCTTTTTTCTAAGAAGTTTTTATCTTGTCCCATCGTTTTGTCTTGCCAAGTTACACCATTGTACTTTATCAACTTGGTTGTTTTTGTGTGTGCCATTACATGATCATAGAATTAGACAATTAACCCTAAAACAAAAATCAACTTGTTAAAGGGCATACAGCACCTCTAACATAAAACTTCAAATAATAAATTTAATGAGACAAGTTTTTGTTATATATAAAAAAATATCAAGAGATGAACACTCACCAAAATAAATGTTCTTATGACACAAAGCTTTGTGTGAGAGTGGTCTCCTTAAAATGTTCATATCAATGTATTAGCAATTCATCATCTGCCTACATGAAGGTTGTTAGTGCTTTGACAATACAAAGCTCTTACATCCTTCTTATTGGCAGACAATGAATCACGTCAACTGCCTTTTGTCTTCTTTTTTCCCCCCAAAAAACAAGAAAAATCAAGAATCAAAGAAAAAAAAACTTCTATGTATTTGTTGAGGAAATGCTGCACTTTGCTGCAGTACTTGTGCCAGTATTAAATATATGTGCTTTTAAGTCACCTCTAAATATCTTTTGAATTATTTTCATTTGTTTGTATCTAAATCACATCATCTATAGTAGATTTTAAGAAAAGGACAGTAATGGAATAGAATCGAGAAAAGAAAGAAGATAAGCATGAGAAAGGGAAAGGAAAAGGGAAGAGTAAATATGAAGATCAAGACGGTGATTGTTGAGAGCAAGACAGCATTGATGCTGTGTTAAATGAGTATGCCTTTATGCCTCTGAGCAGATGATGTCTTTAGGAAAGAGGAAGGAGAGATTAAATATCAACTTGAGGACTCCAATAAATCCACAGATTCAAACCAAACTTGAACACTTCACAAAACTTATTTCTTGCAAAAAAGATTTGGTGAAAAAATGTAAAACTCAAGTATTAGGCAAAGAAAGTCAAGAGGTCCAGATAGCAATAAAAAAAAAAGTCCTAGTCCTGGCTAGAAATCATTATATTCACACATCACAGACCACACACATGAATAAAGGGTGAAAATAAAAGACGGTTAAAGAACTTTTATTTCTGGATAGGACTTTTATTTCTTTAACTTGTTTCAACGATACAGATGTTTAGCCATAATATTATTCATAACTCACTTCACTAAACTGACTACACAATCAGACTGAAACCTGCAAAATTCTGAAGATTTGTATCCTGTAATTCTGCTCTTGTTTTCTTACTGTTTCAATATACTTGGATATCTAGCTACACGTCAATGAAACGTACACACACGACACATCCCTTTTTTTCTTCATGAGTAAATGCTTGTCAGTATAGTACAAACGCCTGTCATCGTCATTGCAAATTTGCATTTTTTCATAAATGACGGCTATTCATATGCGGTTTCATCCAAAAGCAATAACTTCTCACAGAACAATGGCAAGATGTACAAAATTCACAAGTTCATTGTTAAATATTGGTTGATGTATAGTTCACAAATAGTTTCATACTCTGTACAGTTCTATATACCTTGAAGGATACATTAATGAGTTTACATGTTTATTTTCTTTTGTAAAACAATCAAACAAACCCTGCAATGCTTACACATTCTGGTTATGTATTGAACATTACATGAAATTACAAAAGGTGATTAATAAAGTAGAAAAATCATTTGATTATTCAGATGTTCACAAGGAGAAAATTTAGCACACTGAGTTTACAGGAATGGCCTGCCACAAGCTAGAATTCCATGATTGTTTTACAATCATTTGTTTAGATTGTTTAGAGATGAGGTTGATTATGATGGTATCAGTCTTGTGTGTTGCACCATATCATCCCTACATCCAGACACTTCATGCATGTATTAAGGGTATGTTTGGTAAAGTTTTATTCAACACTGCTGCATGACAATGACCAACATACATAGCCGGTATTGTACCCTGTACCAGACACAAGCATGTCAGACCATAGGGGCGCTGAAACATACAGACATTGCACCATAGGGGAATTATAACATGTGTATAACATTGTGATGAATTACTGAGATGTATAATGCCCCTCGATATTACAATCCCACTTACATATCTTACTTACTATTATCTATAGTCTTTGAGTTGTACTTATTCCCATCAGAGAAGTGTGCAGCAAACATATCTACTTAATGAATATGGCACATTCATAGAATTAGGACATGGAGCTTAAGTACAATATTTTGTTTGTTGGCCATAGTGTGGTCATTTTTCCTTGACCAGTAAAATATCAAATTAGATGGGTGGGGAGGGATATTATGATTCTACTAACCTTAGGATCACTCATGACCACCTTCACTTGCCTTGAAAGGAATAGGTGTCCCAATTCTTGGAAATCAAATTTTAAGATGACACACATAGTGACAATATTTATAGCTTGAATTAAAATCAAGCAACATTTTTATCTTTGATCTAAAATCCTGCAAGGTTTATGAGTAATTAGTTTTATTTGCTGAGACAATGTTATTTATTAATGACACCTACCATTCAATCATTGTTTAACATGGAGAAGGGGAAAAACGCATCCAGAATCCCTATCTTAATTATTAAGTACAGATATAATCTGCTGCTACATAATCCAAATGTAGTATGAGTAAGTACTTGCAACAAAAATTTAACATTTTGGAAATTGAAAGTATTGGCATAAAGTTAGAGTACATTACCACCTAAAACATCATCCAATATTATAAATCACCATGTATCCAGTAAATGGTCATTACCAGGGCAACTCTTAAAGATTAAGTGTTATTACGGCTACTCAGACGTGGGTCCTGGGGCCCGTTTCATAAAACTTGTTATCTATAACAACTGCTAAATTTCTATGACAAATTTGCTCTCAGCCAATCAGATGCCATGATTTCAGTAGCTTATAACAGTAGCTTGTAACTTGTTATTGATAATAAGTTTTATGAAACAGGCCCCTGGAGTTTAGATTGATATGGATATATTATATATCCCCATATCAATCACAAATTTACAAACTCCTATCCTTATAGAACAGAGATGCTACTAGTATCATGTTGCAAACAATTTGAATCAAAAGCAACTATTTATTTAAGACAAGGCCCTGGATAATAACAATAACAATAACAAGAATACTACTCATTCCCATATTACTTACTAGCTTTTTATGTGGAAAATTGTTGCAGGTCCCATGTATTAATATGGTTTTATGCTGGTGAACCTGGTGTCAATCATATTTGATTTACAGCACCCCAAGGATTTTATAGTTGCTGAAATAATTCAGAAGGGACCACTATTATTGTTATCATTACATTATATATAGGCATATTGTTTACTATTATCATTACAGGTACGACTGGGGCTATAGGGACAGCACTGCAAACACCAATATGGTGGGCACACATTGAATTGAAATTCAAAGTGGCTGACCATCAAACCACTGTGATACTACACAAGCAGTACAGACATACATGTACATTTCATGTAGGGGTAATGTAGGTGAAATAAATTTACTAATGTTTACTTGCAGAATTTATACCAAGAATCCTTTTATTTATCCGACCCTGTACCTGCAACCAAGTACATGACGCTCTTTTACTGCCCATATTTGTCTATTTCATAAATACGTTCATTTAGTGAAAAATACAAGAGGGGCAAAATATCATTGCAAAACACATGGCCATTTACATATCATATAGAGTTGAAATATCACAACACTGATTGAATTTATATTTGTACAATAATTGGCAAAAAAGAAAAACATAGAAATCAATCAATTTTTAGAAATCTTATTTACATACAAAATTGCACATGATTTTGAGTAGGAAAACCGTAGCTATTTTTCATCTTCTAAGTCTAACATCATGCTATTCATTCTGTCCTTTTATAATGCCTATCTAAAAAGGGCATGCTTACATTGAAAAACACACCCTAGGGGATAAAACAAATCCCTGGATATCATTTTGGATTTGAAAGATTAGCATAAGCATTTGCAGGCAGCATGTAAATAAATTGATCTAAAGAAAACAAATCACATTTTATTGAAGCATCATAATTTGGAGATGACATAACAAACTTGTAAAAAAAGAAAGCAGCCTTCAATATGTATTTCCTTATCACACTCTGCTGAGGTTTGATTATGTTTCTCAGATTAACATGAGTTAAAGATAACTTTGATTCAATCAGAAACAATGCTACTTGAAGTAAACATACCCTGACACAAATCAAAATAATTGTTTAAAAACAAAAAATCAATATTGGCACCAAAGGAATTGCAAATAAAACACATAGGTGAGTTCATGGAAAGTCATCCATTGAAGAGAGTGGATATTCGTAGAAAAATAATATTAACAACATTAAGCACACACAATTGTACAAAATACATAGTAAAAAGGTGGAACTAAACACATCAGCATAAGAGATGGCCTAATGCATAGCAATTGAAACAACAATAATACACTTAAAGTAAAGCTAATCGACAACTCATATATGCGAACATTCTACAACTTATAAAAAATAGCTTTTCTGACTAAAAAATCTGACTGGTTTCGATCTTTTGCATCTTATTATGATGCTCTAAGCTGAGATTTACCAGAATAAAGAGTATTTCGTTACACTTTTATACCCTTAAAGATAAATAATTTATCCATAATTAGCAAAGGTGATTAAAACACTGTGTTATGGGTTTCGTGGGTTGTTTTTCTGTACTTGTTAAAATAATGAACAGCTCGAAAAATTTTGTCATAGAGATAGAATATGCTGAACCCTCTGATTCATACAATAAATTTTGCCTGGTTTCTTGTGGTATTCTTCAGATTTTTTTTGCACTTATCCTTCTTTCTCTCCAGATTTTTGTTCCTTCTTTTTCTGTAAACCTCCCTATTTATGTGTTTTACCCAATAAGCATGATCAGTTACAATTAGGCTTTGGTTTTCCTTCACACTCGAACGGCATACAATGCAGAATAATATTTTTGGTACACATAGTCGGCAGAAAAAAGCATTGCTCTTAATATCTAACAATAAATACTTTTTGAAGAATTCTTCAGACTTGAAAAAACTCTACAGATATAGATAATTTTTAAAGATTTATATACAGCTACATATTCAATTTGTTTGATAATGAAAAGGATTTTTCTATACTAGCAACCACATCCTATACTTACAGGTACACCTCATAATCTACATTCTGCATTTGAGAATCTAACTTGAATTTGTAATCCATTTTTAATCTATATATGCTTGTATATGAAGTAATCATCGACATCACCACTATTCACCACATCACATATTCAATATCCTTTGCTTATTCAACATGACATGTTTTACCAGAAGTATGAGAAATTTGTTCTTTAAAAACTATGAGAGATAACCAGATAACAGTTATACTCCACAAATGTATGTTTCTTAAAATACGATTCCATTAAAGTTCAAAAGTTCATGTGTTATAAATTCATTTTCTGATGATGAAGATGGAGATAATATAATAGCCAGCAGGATGTAAAATACCGGTAGGCTACAAAAGTTGTTTTTTGTGACTTGATATTTCCCCCACAATTTCTTCGATTCTTTTCTCAAAACACCATACACCTATTTTCCAGTCATAACACAAACTATCGTACTTCCAAACATCTAATCTTTCTCTAGCCTCTGTCTACTAGCTAATACCTGTGTGCATTTCTATGTACAAGGGTCTGCATAAACTATACAAACAGGGCGGGAGGGGAAGTCTTCAATAGTTTGAAAGTGGAATGAATGCATATCAATTTAACTTATATAGTACATTCTAAAAAAAGTTGATTTTGTAGACCAACCACAGCGAAAAATATGACATAATTCACTGGAATGCTCACTCTTACAATAATGTAACTGACGAATCAGTCATACTACTGTAATAAGAGAATGTCTATGACCCCCTCCCCCTCTTCTCTAAAAAGATCACTCCAATTTTTTTGGTGTTTTTTTTGGATAAGAGAGCAATCATTTGTTAATTCTTTATTTACAATGTTGTTCCTAAGTTGTTTGATTCTGCATGCATTGCGGTTTTTTTGAGAGATGTGAAATAAATGAATTTGAATAATATCTCATTACTAGTGTTGAACCACTTTTAGTTCCTGTGAGTTGATCAAGGTTTTCTTTCCATTTGAGTTGTTTTAAACTTGTTATTGTTACATGACAATATATGAAATAGTAACATTTAGTGTTGAAACCCACTGTTTCATGAGATATAAATATTTCAGCAAACATAAGGATTGTATTCGACTATCCCGCTAACTATCTCTTGAGACTATATTCAGTCATTCCCCAGAGAGATCTACGTCTGTCTCTGTGTCATTACTCCACTGAACTAGGACTAAGCATTCTAGTGATTTAAACATATCCAACAAAAACATGGACATTAATCAAATATATTTCCTGCATTCATAAGACATATGCATTAAGTAGCATCACTCTTTAAACATTAGAAAAAAATGCACCTACGTAAGAACTTTTGGCCCTTGATGGGTGGAAGTTATTATATACAACAAATGTCAAACGCTTCAACTTCCTTCCTCCCTTTCTCTCTTATCTCTTATCTGTCGGAGCTTTGTAGAATGTAGATGTCAATGATGTACTCTCCCTCAAGGGTTGCAGCAAATATTAGTCTCACGGTTGTGTCGTTGTCGTTGCCTGCCTCCATTTTGTCTTTATCTTTGAGCAACGAAGAGTGACGATGCCTGGCTTGGGTCCGCTCCAGCTGGAAACAGAACTGCATGGGCGATAAACGAGTTCAAATGACTTGATGAATACTAAGCTCAAGATAACTTGAACTGTGGTCTATCGGATTAGAATTACTGTATTAAGATCAAACATTATTATGGGTTAAAGGAAAAGATAGAGTGTGATTGAAATATATTGCTCACATCCAGAGGCTGTATAAAGCAGTCATTGTTTAATTTGGGAGGGATAAAATATGAGTTATTGCTGATCCCTTGCGACCCTGTTTGATGACGATTCTCTAGCAACAGATACAGTTGTAGGGTATTTCATAAGTATTTCATAAGCTTGTGCATGATCATGACTTGAGGAACACTGAATTGCTACCGACAAATGTTAGTCACTTATCCTTAAGCTTAGGGATGTATAAAACATATGTTACTCTGGAGAGATGGACTCTACCTTTCAAGATGTAGTTTGTCAGCAAGTCAGGCACTTCTTTGCTGTCCACATCAATTGCTTTCAAAACTGAAAAGAAAAAAGAAAATAATTCATCAAATGATTGTAAATTGACACATTTCAGATTTGTACAAAACAACTCTTTTATTACACATGCCATAAACTGGATGTACAGGAAATCTATAACTGAAAAAAGGCTACAAGAGTGTAAGGACACATTGCAAAAGGAAAGGGTCTTGAAACTACTCATTTATTATCATACTGTCTTTTTTTATTTCAGGAAATATCATGACACATAGAGATCGACCTGAAGATAATTCATGACAAAGAATCTTAACACTGAAGAATTTACACAATCGCATAATCCAATTTACTCCCACACTAATCAAAACAACACATGTCATTCATCACGGTACTAAGAAAAAGGGTTATGTAAGATCCAATCTCAACACAGTGCTATTACCTATACTCTTTTCACACTGGTTTTGCTTAACCCCGTACTTTGCTTAGCCCCGTACTATCCTTAACCCCAGACTTTTTTTTTGGCTTTTCACACACGCTGTTTTTAGTCCCGTACTAGCGCCTATTCCAGAATAAAAAATTCGCGCTGTTCTCACAGCAATTCGTTAGCCCCGGATATCGTGATATCGTGAATGTTATGATTGGTCAGTGGGCTCCTTACTTCGCATCTGGCCAGCTGCGATACGCTCCATTGCATAGTACCGGACTATTTTTCGTATCTGTTCTCATTCATTTCAATTGCGGAGTTAGCCCTGCGATTTTGCAGGGTTAGTTAACCCCGTACTATAGGTGGGGTTAGCCAACTTTAGCCCACTTTGGTAAAAGCCAGTCTGAACAGAAAGTGGAATAGGCTTAACCCTGGACTGTAGGTGGGGCTAAGACCCCCCCCCTTAACCCCACCTATAGTACGGGGTTAAGCAAAATATTGCCAGTGTGAAAACAGTATAAAAGAGTTATGTATCACTTGATCCATTCTGTTTTTGTTTTCTTCATTTCAATGAAACAAAACAAGAATCAACTGATACATAAAAACGTCAAAGATTTTTTTTTAAATGATTATAAAAAAAAATTAACAAAAATAAAAATAAAAATTAGAAAAGAACAAGAAAGACCCTAAAAACAGAACAGAAACATACAACCATCATCACAGTGCTTTATGCCAATCAATATCAGACTTTGTCTTGAGGGGAAAATACATCTATATGCATCCATCCATGCACATTGGATTTTTTGTCAAATATTTATGATATTAAATAACAAGAGCTGTGTAGAATGCAGAGTGACATTTTCTGTTTGCTAATTGCAGAACGGCAAGGCAGGAGACTACACAAATCAATAGCGTCTGTCTGCACTCCTCAAATTTCCTTCCTCAAATTTGATGATTGATTATTTACAGTAGGTTGAGGCTTAAGCAGAACAAAACTAGGACAAAATAAAGCTGAAGTCTGTTAGTGGCTGTGCCATTTTGATTTTTCAAGTGAGACTAGAATCATCATACTGTGATGAGGTAGAATATTTTACTCAAGAAAGAAAAGGACGGCAACAAAATGGCTAAAAATGATAATTACCATAGTCATATGGATAAAAGCAATAAGCTACGTTGCTGAAAGCTAACCAAATCAGCTAAGAATTCATAAATGCTTAAAAAAAAACCTTTATACAATTAAGCTTTTGAAAGTAATTGATATATTTAATTTGATTGTGAGTAAGCCAAGCTTAAGACTGCGATATATTTCAGGCTTTTTTGAGAAACCAAAAGCGATGTGTAAAAATCTGACATGGAACCTGCTATTCTATTCAGGAAGAGGAGGCTTTCATTAATATAAATATATGTTTTTTAATGCTTTTTTTTTTATATGATTGTATGTTTGATGGAAACTTGCATTTTTAATCTTTGGACTTTTTGACAAGTCTTGAATAAAACCTCATTTGAATCTTGAATCTTGAATCTCGAATCTTTGAATATGTGGGGACCTAAAGTCACTACACAGGTATCATTTATTCTATATCACAAGAAAAAGTCTACCTCCTTTTCCTAATAATTGGCTGGATGAAAATTCTAAGATGCATGTCATATGATTCACTGTGGCATTGGATGGCAGAAAATTGCACAGCCTTCTTTTAACACTACATTGGTATCTTTTAAAACTTCCGTTCTCAGAATTTAGAGGTGTGTGCATGGCCAAATTAAAACTATTTCAATACGGAAATTTACTGATCCCTCCTGTTAAAACCACTTAAATTCAACATATTTATGTGGCTGGTATCCATCATCTAGTTCTAAATTCTACCAAAAAATAACTTTCGCTACTTGGTTTCCAGCTGATCTACTTACTCCAACTCTCCCTAAGTAGAGTGACGATGGGAGTTGTCAGTATTTTATGTAACAACAACAAAAATAAAGGAGAGTACAGAATGCTGAAAGCCCATATAAAGTTTTTGTTAGCCTCTCCCCATAAAATGTGTTTAACCTTTTATCTAAATTGATGAATAGTAAGACAATCACAGTTTCAAGCTTTATCTTTAAATGGTTGATATCAAGTATATTTTAGAAAAGTGGCTTTGCTGGATTCGTACATGTAACTAGACATACATTGTCTTTCTATAGTTACAACCAACCTTACCACAACCAATCAATAGTTCTCTTAGGTTCCACATGTGAGTCGCATTATTGTGCAGACATTCAACATTACACCCCAAGAGAGGTTTTAGATTGGTGTATCAACCTTACATAATAACCCTTATTGGTAAGCTCCGCACTGTGATTATAGCCAGGGAGAAAACGAGATAATCCTCTCATGATGCATATCAGAAGCATGGGTATCAGGTGTTAAAATCAATACCAGCTATGTTCACATTGTAACGCCGTAGTCCTACCGAAACATTGACGTTTTAAACCACAAGCTAAACTTAATGTTTTCAGACTCTTGTGTGAACCTTACGGATGTCTCCAATATCACCTGATTTGAATTAAGTCTGCTAGTAGCAGTTACCTTATGAAGAATGTGGAAACATCATCCTTCTCGCAGGAATTCACATTATCTAATGACAAACAAAATTCCTAATAAATTGGCTGATATAAGGTTCATCTGAACCATATTAGTCTACACCACATAGTGGTACCACAAACATGTAGTGATGGAAGTGTTGTCGATCCAACAAAAATTAAAGCCTGCCATAATACAAAGTGTAATCTTTCCTGTTGCTTACAATTCAGTCAACAACAAAAAAGACAGTCTGATGACAACCTGATAAAATTTCACATGTTTAGGCATTGTGAACAGAAACTACAGATTATTTACCCCCAAAATAATTTTAAAAAATCCTCAACCAAACCATTGGTATTTTCTGTTGGCTTTGAACAATTCATCATGGGAATTAGCAGTGTGAAAGTGAAGTATTGCTCTATGTTATACGCTTGGACATAGGGTGATCTTCATTGAAAAAAGCAATTGAAGTAGGCAAGCAAAAAAATTATGGGAAATGTCCCAATATCTATGTCACGCAGGTGTGAAAGTACCAAAACTTTGTCAGGACTTGGGATCTGCAAAAACTTACCTGTAAACTACAAGTAATTTTCATGATTGCTGCATACTCACTTTTTGTGATTATTCTCAAAGTTTCCAAGTCTGGTGGGGCATCTTTGTGATATGGTATTCTCGTTGTCAGATACTGTTTCAGGGAAGAAAAAACAAATCAATTCAATTAACAAGACATACGATGCCTCAATTCAATCAAGTTTCATCCTAAGTTTTTCTATTGTAATTTGAACATCCTAGAAAATCCTGATGGTTCAGGAATTTACAGACAACCCATTATTGTGTTTATATTAAAGATTTTTCATTCTGATGGTATAACTCTATTATCAAATAAACATTTACTTTACTTGTATTAAAGAGAACTTTTGCTGGGCTAGCGCCATAAGCGTCCTTGGATGGTGTGTGCACCTTATAAGTTTACACTTTTATTATTGTTATTATTAACATTAAATAAGGTATACAAATTCCCTCCCCACTTGCTTTAATTTCTATGATTAAAACCATATCTAATATTTTTGGTTAAATAGCAATACAAAGAATAATGAATTTGTGGATTCCAATATAGTTGTGGTATTATTCTGCATTTAACATGATAAAGACATATGATAATTTCATTATAAAATGATTAGATAATTGCAGGGGCTTGGTGGGGATAGTGGTGGAAATACTACCATGGGGTCAATCCCAAACAGCATAGAAACTAACCATTTCCTCTGAAAGCTCATTTTAGATTCCACTTTTCAATAGAATCATTTCCTAGCCTGCATAATTTTTTTGGGGTATTTAAATATATAAAATATCTATTCCCCACAGTAGTTTTCAAACCTTTATCTGAGCATTTTGACAAATGCATTTCCAGAGTTGATTCACTCTCAGCTCCTAAAGAATAATTGATTGCTGATCCTGAGGTTTACATCATAGACAGCTAGCACAGGTATGGGAGTTACCTCGCTATCACACACATGACATGACAAAACCTATGCCTCAGACACATGCCTGCAGAAATTGAATATTGCATGGGAAGAATATTCATGTTTTGATGGCTTGACATTTAAGTACAACCTTAAGATTCAGGTCATAAGGATAAAATGTCTCCCCTTAGGATGCTGGCAAGCAACTCTCAACTACCGGCATTGGGCGTGATCAGGATGTAGTCAGCATAATATTAACTTGCAGAAAAAAAAGAAAAAGGAAGACATTTTGCCAGCGGATATTCCTTCACTTCCGCTATCTTGTCTTGCTCGATATATCGACTATATAAATAATGAGAGAAAGGGATCTTGGATATATGTTAATTTTCACACTGCTGAAATAGCATCTTTTTAACATAGGAGCATTTGGATAAAAAGGGAAGTGTGCCTCGGATCAAAAAAGAAAACTTTACAAAAAAAGTGAACTCGTAAGTGAGTTTGCTAGTTTTTCATGCTTTCTTTTGAGTGGAAATTGATAATTCCATTAAACCAGTCCATACATTAACTCTCCCCATTTCTTTCAATATTTCAGAAAGAGCAACTGCACTGGATATTTCATATGTACAGAGAAAAACCTCTTAGGCTTATGTATTATTGTGCAGCTGGAAAAGCAACTTATTTGAGTTTCAAATCTCATGGGGTCACTGGAGACCACTTACCATGCCTGGTTCAATGCCATTCTTGAGTTTCAGTTTATTGCTGAGTAGAGAGAGAGGGTCCTGCTTTACTTTCTGCTTGGTTGCCCCGTTGTTTCCTGTTCCGCTTCGTCCCTTGACCTTATTCTGAACGCTGAGTAGAGCCGAGATGAACGAGTTCTTGGTCTCCTTCTCGTAGTCCAGGTCCTCTCTCAGGGCTAGTTGCTGGACCAAGACCTCTGAGTACTCTTTGACAGTCTGGTCCAATTCCTCCAGGACTTCATTGAGCTGTACCAATGTCATGTTCTTCAGTTCTGTATATAAAGAAAGACAAACAGAAGATACAAATGTAGGCTTGATTAAAATATCCACTACAATTTACAATAGTTTATTTTTAATTGAGCCCCTCTCTCCTGGGTCCTGTTTCATCAAACTTGTTATCAATAACAACTTACAATAACTGTTATAAGCTACTGAAATCACGTTATTTGATTGGCAGAGAGCAAATTTTTAATAGAAATTTAGCATATGTTAGTGGTAATAACTTTTATAAAACAGAGCCCTCGATCTGCTCCTGCATCAACAAATCATAGTCAAATAATATTACATGTACAATTGATTCATTGCAAAGGTAAAAAAAACAAACACATGTCACCATCATTACCAGCACTGAGTTGCTTTCCCACATCATCATTATCATATTCCATCTTTCTTTTCAGTTGTGTTTCCTATGCAGTGCATGCAGTCATCCAACAGTCATTGCACTTAAAAGTAATGAAACCATAATCAATGGAGCACCCATCATCACATCCATCTTCATCTCAAACAAAATGCCATCTTCTCACCTAACACACTAAATACATGCATATGTCATACCAGCTTGCATCAATCAATACAAAGCAATGTACAATACCATTTCTCCTCTCTTTCTCTATACCCTCGCTCTTATTTCTCCTATTGTGTTTTGTTTCTACTGTGTCTCTCTTCTGGTTTTGTCTTTATTTACTCTTACTTTCTCTCTCCCTCTTCCTTTCTCACTCGCACCCACTTTCTCTTGTTTTCTCTTTTGTTCCCCCATGCATTTTTTGAAATCTGTAACTCTCTCTCTCTCTCTCTCTCTCTCTCTCTCTCTCTCTCTCTCTCTCTCTCTCTCTCTCTCTCTCACTTATATGTCAATACTTAATACCTGTAACTTAACCTACTAACATGACTGTAAATGAAAAAACACATTCTTACAGAATGTATGTACAGTATGATGAAACAAAATTAAAGATTTGAAGTAATATTTACTTTGTTAGATATGATATAATTTTGTTAAACAGGTAATAGGTGTCCTATTTCACAGACAAATCTCTTGTTCTATCTGTTTGTAATATTCTGCTTCCATATCTCTCTTCCATCTTCCATTCTTTCACCCTGCATCATCTGCTGATAACCACAAGGAGGTTAACTCCTATACTGTTACACATGCCTTACAAGTGCCCTTCTGGCTCTCAACAGACCATACCTCTATCTTCCACTCACTCTCACTTCCCTGCATGTCCCTGCATGGCAATCACTTTGTATATTAATATAAGTTCAGGAAATGAAAACAAACTGAAACATCAGCTAAATAAACTCTGGATTCATGACGATCCATACCTCCAGCGGAGAGCTAGAACCCAGCTAATGGAACATGTACTGTAATGCACCCTTTTCAACACTTTAATATCCAAGCCAGGGAGATCTCTTACATTGCATGGTTGTTTATACACCATGCATGCTCTCTCTCTCTCTGATTGTTATTTGGTGAAAGCTAGCTTTCTCAATGCTGTACGTGCAGGCACACCAGATAGCACATAGAGCCATCTCTAGACATGTACTGTTATTAATTACCACAAGTACACTGACCCAGGCCATGAGTACAGACAGAGATTACTTTTATCTTAATTAGTGAATGATATATCAATATCTTGCTAATGATGGCAAGAAAAGGTGAATATTTAAATTACTAATACAGAGCGGAGGCGAAGCACGGTTGAATTACAGTATAGAAATCCATTTGTGAGCCCTGCAAATGTTTTTGATGAAACGAGAATTCGTGGAATATTATGTAAATCTAATTAGCTTCTTGTTAATATTTAAGTAATTTTTGTGACCGTAACATCAGAACAATCTATAATCTATAACTTTATATGTAGAACTCAATGTAACTCAATAGCATCTTCATCTTCATTATTTAGGGTGTGGTAAATGATTTTAATACAACTTTCGAAGTCATGTTCTTAAACGACCACTCTATTTGCCATTTGTTTACATTCAGATTTCTATCATTTCATATTGAATGTCAAGATTTCCCAGGGATGTATTTTCCAAAAAGTGATTTGACTAGCATTGCAACTGACAAGAGTGTTGATAAATTCCAATTACATGGCAACCAGTTGGCAGATATAACGACTGAAGGTCTTTGTATTCTCCCCACTGCCATGACATTTGAGCAAAACCTTCAACGCAGAGTTTAATTGAAAAAGGATCGACTCTCCCAAAACCATAATTTTGACCCTCAACCCTCAAATTAAAAGGAAACACCATTGACTTTGGTTTGAACTATAAAACTGGAAAAAGAAAACATGGTGTGTTGTTGGACATGGTAGGACAGCCATGAGATAGATTCTATGTTCTACAGTGCATCTGCAATTTGGTCTAGACACTCCTGAGACTTTGTATGTGGTGAGTTGGATGAATAATTGCTTCTATGGAAATGTGCTCCAATCCTATAAATAAGGTAGTTATCTAAGAGGTTAAAAGGAGAGAGGAAGAGAGGGAAGGAGGAGGAAGAGGGGGAAGAGGGGGAAGGAGGGGGAGAGAGAGAGAGAGAGAGAGAGAAGGGGGGAGAAGAGAAGAGGAAAGTAGGGAGAAATTGATTGCCATCTATTACACATAGAGCAAATGTGTTTGACACAGTTGGAGACATTCAATACTCGATAATTTGTGAAATCATTTCTTATCACTGTATACCGGTATATGAAGATTCCCTACACCTCATCCCCATCTGAAATTCAAAGCAGAGTTTAATCCATGTAGTCATTAGAAGATGATTGTTCTCTTGGAGGAGGCACACACGCAATATACTTTAACAGCCCTGATACCTGTTATAAATAGTAAGGCCTCCCTTCTAAATTCCCAAATTCTTCTGCACAAACCTCATTGAATAATACAACCTCGTTGAGAGAATTGTCTCAAGCAGTATCTACTAGGCAAGCTCACAAACTGAGATCTCCTGACTATGGAACGTCCTATCAAAAGCATGAACCTAATACTGTCAAAAGTCACATCTTTTATCAAATATTCTGCTCCCAAATCATTAGTGATGCAATATCTTTATTCATTGCACTATATATAGGCAAACATTGTATTAACAAATATCCATATAATTTGTCTAGACTATTCTTTTAAAAAAGAAACTCTAATTGTATAGTAATCATTTACCTGTGAACTTTCTATTCCAATTCATTATCATTGTTGGCAACAAGGCAGGTGGATTGTGGTATTCGTTTGACAGGTGGATATGGTTTTAGGGACAGTACAGGGGTATTAAGAGGGAAGGTGAGTCATTTGAGGTGTACATTGATATTTATAAATACAGCAAGGAGGAGATTGACAGGAAAAGACTGCAAAGGTCTTCTGGATTAGGTGAGGATGGAAGACGCACAGGGAGAAAATTTCCTGCGGGACGGGGTATAGAAGGGGTAGGTGTATAAATAAATAGAGAGAGAGAGAGAGAGAAAGAGAGAAAGAGAGAGAGAGAGAGAGAGAGAGAGAGAGAGAGAGAGAGGGAAGGAGGGAGGGGGAGGGGAGTCATCATATCTTCCACCTCGAGATACCAAAGTAATACTTTTGTCTTTCAGCTTCAATGCTATATATGAAAATGTTTTAAGGAATGAAGAAATAAATATCTATCAAGTAAGGGTGGAAAAGCAAAACAAAATGAAACTAAAGATACAATATGTAGACATTTGCAGGAGATTTATCCCTGAATAAGATCAAAACATCAGAAGGTGGTCAAGAGAGCTCCAATACTGGATGACACACAAGAGCTGATTATCATACATCTCACTGTGATTCACACATTCCTGAGGCCTCAAACAGGTGTATCCATCTCACAGTGTACATGTAGGAAGGTACTGGCTCGTCTTGTATGCAGTCATCACCAACTATGTCCTCTCCATCTTTAAATGGCAGTATACTACCAAATAGTACCCATGGCTCTAGAAGGTCTGTAAATCTGTCTAATTTCTATTATATCCCTTATCAATGGCCCTTGGGAGAATAGTACTAGTTGATGTTCCTTCGATTGCGAATAGTTTCAGCTAGATCCTCAATTGTCATTTTATATTTGTATACTATTTCCCATGTATTTAAAGTATCTGAACTCTGAACATCACTTAATGTCACAAAGCTTTATCAAGTGCCCCAGCCATATATGTTAATAAGTTTTGTTTCTTTTAATGATATTCATTCTTCATTATGTCTGTATCTTCATGGTCTTGTATCAAACATAACTGCCCATAATCTGTTCTACTTTTGTTTATAAAAATTAACAAAATATGCTAAAATATCAATCTTTAAGAAATTATCTCATAGCACATTTCATTTTTTTTAATACCCTGAGGATGCAAGTGTCTCTGAGATCATTATTCCCTATCTCTTTTATTTCATTTTGGTTCATCTATAAAGGATAAATGACTAGTCTCTAGTTCAAGAAACAATAAAGAAATCACTGGAAACAAAGAAAATGACCTGGATGAAAGTCTAGGGGAGTTAGACGATTCTGTCCACAATTTAAAGTATCACGGTGTCAGATACACACAATGAACAGTAAACATAAAAGATAAAACCCCTTTATCTATGATTCATATTCTCCTTTTACATAATTCCTATTTTCATTATTGGGAATGTTCAATGAGAGTATGATGATGGTCTCCTACCCCCTTCATGTGTTGGTTTGGTACTGTTCAAATAATAAAACGGGTTGGCTTAACCACTCATCTCTACACAAACAAAATTGGATCTTGTCTCAAATTACTAGCTCATAAGAAACGCCTAAATGAGATTGGTGGGGCCCTGACAGGGAAGGAACCCTCATCTGAAGCATTGACTTGCCTTGAGGCTCTGAGGCAGGCAAGTCTGCTGTGGTTGTACAGACTATCTTCTTTAGATATGAAGTAATTTGATGGAATTAAAATATAGGACATGGTCCTGTGTCTTAATTAGAATTTGGCACATACATGTCTCTCATAGTGTTTTTCTTTTGTGATGTCTTAATTTATTACAG